TGTGCAAGTAAGACCTGGAAAAGCCAGTTTAGTTTTCATCAGCATCACCCGTTTGTCCGCCTGCAACTTTCTCGACTCCTCTTTTTTTTTTCTTTTTCTCGCATTGTTGAGAGAAAGCCTAAAGAAACTGTTCTATTATCCTCCCCTGGAGAACCCAATTGAACCTGGCAAGCAACGTCTTTCTTTTATCTGCTCTTATAGTGAGATGTAACCTGGGACAGGATCCAGACGGCTCCAGAGTCCAAATATCCAAGTTTGTTTGACAGAGCCCTGTTATCTCCTCTCCGTCCTCAGAGTAACGACAGGCTGAGATTCCTTCGGACAGAGAAAGAGTGAGAGAGAGAGAGAGAGAGAGAGAGGAAGATGGAAAGCTAGATTTGTATCTTTTCAGCTACCCAAGAGGCAGGGATGCAGGAAGCAAGTAATGTTTTCATTTCAGCAGAGAGAAAATAGGGGGGAAATTCTGTGTTGCCATCCTGTTATACAACAGGAAACAACACATGTGAAAAAGGGAACTTTAAATCCTTTTATCCCTCTTTTTTTCCCCCAAGATAAGAAGGTCAAATGAAGAGGTCTTTGCTTCCAGGATTTCATAAAAGTCTAATACGGTCTGGATGACATTTAAAATGTAAAATACATTAGAAATGTATTCTTAACATATTAAAAAAATGTATCTACGCTTTGATTTTATCTGAAGCTCATAGTGATTTTCTCAGTTTTTGGATGACATCTTTGATTTAAAAAAACAGAAAACCAGAGACATTAACTCGACAGGCTGATCTTTGTAAATGTGTGATATTAATTTTCCTCTGGGAAGAAAACAAACTCATGACTTGATTTTCAATTTTTTTGTACATGTTGCGCGTACATTTGCCAATTAATTTATGCATTACAAAAAGAACAAACAGCGCCTTTCGCATATTTTTGCTCTAACTTTTAAGGTAAATGAGGACAGGCAAAAAAAAAAAAAAAGCCCATAGCACTGCCTTCAAATTCTGACATCATCACTGATTTTTTTTATTTTTATTTATTTATTTATTTTTGCTATCTGTTATTAAATATCGGCCATTGAGTTTCAGGTAATGAGGTGTGAGGAATTTCTTTTTTCTTTTTTTTTTTTTTTTTTTTCATTACCCATGAAGGCCACCGTTTGGTCATCGCCATGACAACAGAATCCTCTCAGCAGCAAAGCGGCAAACTGCTGATAGGTGTGTGGGGGCGAGAATGAGCTACGACCAGTCCTGTCCACCCCCCCCCCCCGTGAGCAGACTGCTCGGCACGTCAGCGTGGGGAAACACGTAGCCCAGTGTGTGTGTGTGCGTGTGTGTGTCAGCGTAGCAAATGAGTGCACACACAAATGGTCTAGCAGGAAGCTCATTCCTAATTGTTTTTCAGTCTGTTAAATTCAGCAAATGTGATGTGCTCCAGTAAACAGATTGGAGGCAAAAAAAAAAAAGTGTGCCGTGTTGGGACTCAAATTAAATTAGGAGGTCAAAGAAGTCCATGACTGAGAGGAGTATTAAACTCCTGACAAGAAGTTGGAGAGTAATTGGTTTTAAAGCCTTCATTTTAGCGAGGACCAGAGCCATACGAGTCGGGCCAGCTATTGACCCTGGAAGGAGACAATCAGCCAGCAAGGACGAGGCAGCGTGAGCTACGTCTGTCAACTTCACTTGTCAACTTTCGGGGAGGTCATCAGAGAAAAGAAAGAAAAAAAAAAGAATCTCACTTCTTTTGAAGGACTTAAAATGGAAACAGTTTCCACGTCATTCATTAACCTTTGTCTCCAGAAACACTTGTTTTCAACCGCTTCCTTTGAACCCCCAGACGCCCACACGTGTGAGTCTATAATGTGAAGCAGTCAGAAAGTAGCTATGCTTTTTTCTTTTTGTTTTACTGATGTTATTCCACCACCTATGCAGAAGACAGATGTAGGGTCCCAGTGAAAAATCCTAAAATAGCTCCTTTACCGTTTCCCAGTAAATACGGTCATGTCACATATTTATTGAGCTCAGGCTGAAATAGCATGTGGTTTCCTGACAGTCACCGTAAGAGTCATTAAAGAAACTACAAGAACGTTCTCGAAACCCTTGACACATAAAAATCTTAAAGTGTGTCATGTATTTTTTATTTTTTTTTATTCAGCCCATTTTGTTCACCCAAATTCAAATGCACCCAAATAAAATTAAACAACTTGCCTTCAGAAATCATGTAACCGGTACATATGGTAAACCTGTGCGTGATTTGGCCTCAATGAAAACGCAGCTGTTCTGCCTCAGGCGGTTAGCGCTGAACATTAGTAAACAAAGAACACCAAGAATCAGACAGTTCAGGGATAATGTTTCTCACAATTATGTGTTTGGTGAGAAACTAACATCCTATATTAAACTGAAAAGAGTATTCCCAAGGTAAAACTTAGTGGTGGTGTCAGCATCATGCTGCGGGGATCCATTTCTTCATCTGGAATAGAGAACAGGGGTCAGTAACCTTGACAACCCTAAAAGGACCAGCTAAACAAAATCTGCTTATTTCCACACAAGCAACTTTACTCTAATTTGTTAACACCTTCTAGAAGAAATTAGTTTTAAGGAACTGTTTTTATTTCCAGGTTTAACACATTCTCTTAAGTGGGACTTTCAATATTTTTTGAAATAGAAAATGACATCAACATGAGCGCATAGTTCGCAACCAACTCACACAAACAAACAAAAAAGACTGTTTCTTACACTATAAGTGCCATTCTTTGTATAATTTTTGGCATATATTGGATGAAAATGCCTTGTAAAAACTGCAAAAAATGGCATTTTTAAAGTCAACGTCCATAAGTATAGTTGAGAATCTCTGGCAAGCTAAATGAAATTAAAATATTGCTCACAGATGTTATCCTTCCGACTAACTTTACAGGTCCAAGGCATTACACTACTCCATTTGGACTTTTCACGGCTTCTCTTCTGGGACTTCAGACGCACAGTGAGAACACGTAGGCTGCCTTCTTGTGTCGTTACAGTTTTTTGGTCTATAAATAAAAGGGATTCAGACATGCCGCCCACCCCCACGCTCAAATGGGGGGCGCTGCACAATCAACACAGAATCTCAACAGAAGCCGCATCAACTTACCAAGTATTAAAAAAGTAACGCTCGGGACTCCGTCGCGGTGTTACAAAATCAAATAACAAGAGACTAAGATGAGTATTTGTTTTGGGCAAAACTCTTTAAGGTATATGTCTCGAGGAAGTGGGCGGGAACGAGGAAAAACGTGCGCGCGTGGGTGGGTGTCGCGTAATATTCAGTCTCACACTCCGGGTAACGGTCAGGTGCGCCTCTCAGTCCGCGGGGCAAATTCACTGAAACGATGGATTTTATCCGGTCAGCCGGCGGACGTTTCTGAACAAACAACGAAAACTATGTCGTAGCGTCGCTGCGGCGTCGGACGGAAGACAAAGCGAAGTGGAGATATTCGCTTACGGTAAGAGACGCGTTTGAAGTGTTGAACAGGATATTATTATACGAGGGTGAAGCTCCTTCACCGGCAGACTCTTCTGACCTTGATGGCTCAAGAGTTTCGCGAAAGTTTCTAAAACAGTGTTAGGATTTCATTCTTGGCTCAGTGTTGGACATTGCACCACAATATATAATGTGTCTGTTCGAAAAGTAATTTATTCAAGTAAACATTGATTAAAAGTCATTCTTAATCAACGAGTTATCCATTTACATGGTCCTGGAAGAAAATGAAGAACTCTTGTAAATGTATATGATTTAAAAAAGAAATCTAAAAGCTTTAAAAAAAAGTAATCCGTATGAAAGTCCAGAACTTTATTTGTGTTTGAGTGACTCATTATTACCCAATCGTGAACAAGTGGGTTAAATTACACTTTTGTCCTTTTCATTAACAACCATCATTCCAAGATATTTTGTCAGGTTTTAATGTGGTATCCATGGCAACTTCTAATAATGAAGCACAACGTTCGTGAGGAAGCAGCTGCAACGCAAAGAAATCAATTCCTTTCTGAGAAAACTATTGGCATAGATGTGGTCTGCTGAAGATGACCTACAAACCAGAGGGCTGATCTAAAAAAATAAAATAAAAAATCCCCTGGTTTTCAGTTTAAAGTGAAATACAGAGAAGGTTCCAGTAGCTAATCAGAGTCTCATTTCATGCCAGAAATTGTAGTAATATTATTTATGTATTATGATGTTAACTAGAACATTTCACTCTCGATCATGGAACAATGAATTAAGGACTTAACAGTGTCCTAAAGTAAAACAAAAACATGGCATTTACCTGTGAGATGAAGCTTATTGACACGATTTCCCAGTGTTTGTTTGACAAATATCTTCCATCTTGGTTTTCTCAGTAGTGACAAGTGATTCTAAGCAGGAATAGTTGAAAAAGTCAATAGAGGTCCATGATGGTGTTGGATTTATTTTTTATTTTTTGTCAAAAGCAGCCTCAAGTGACCAATTCATGCAAAATATGATGTTTTAAATATTGTTGCATGCAGAGTAGTTGACTAAAATTCACGCTGACCTTTGACCCTTTGGTACCAACGAATTACCTTTTTTTTTATCCCCTTCTAAATCTATTTTGTACCTGTAAACAAACCATTTCTTTCTGAGTTTTTAGTTGTACTTAAATAATATAATGAGTTATGGAATACGTGGACATTAAAACATGGCATTTACCTGTGAGATTAAGCTTATTGACACGATTTCCCAGTGTTTGTTTGACAAATATCTTCCATCTTAATGTTGATTAAAATTTCATCAACATTTAACTGGATTGAGATCCACATTTGGTCCCATTGATTCTATAAAATAAGACAGATTACGACCCCTGACAGCAGAGCTGTACGATACACTGCAAAAACACAAAGTCTAGTTAGTTTCTTGTGCAAATATCTTCATACGCTTGAAATAAAATAACTTTCAAGTCACTTTTCAACAAAATATAGGAGCTTGTTTTAAGTCAATCGCTTCCTACTATTGATGAAAACATAATTCTGTTTTGTTGACAGATTATTTCACTTATAAAATGAGAGAAATATCTGCCAGTGAATCAAGTCATTATCGGCTCCACTATTTTGGCTTCAGGAAATTGAGACCTGATAAGATGTGAAAACCTTTCATTTAATAACCTGCAGATCATTGTGTCTTAAGCTGACATTTTAACTGGAACTTACTTTAAATGTCTACATTTATTGTTTCGGCTGTTCTTTCTTGAATGGCTGCCTCCCACATGCCAGCTTCTTCTTTTATGTTCAATGAAAAAAAAAAAACACAATATTTGACTCACAAGAGTCAAATGTTGATGAAATTTAAACAATATTTTAGGTAAAGTTAAGAATCTTAATTTCTTTTTTTGTTTGTTTTCGCACAGATTTCACAAACTCAAACTGCACAAGAATCACTGTAGAATAAATAATTTCACGTTTGACTGCTGCATGTGTTTTTCATTACTGCGTCAGTCTAATGTAGTCTTTGAAAATGCCAATTTGTGTGATTACTGAAATCAAACAGTCTGTATCACTTTACATGTTGGCCATGTTTTCTTGACTGTGCACAACACAGTTGATGCTCAGACCCTACTGACTGGAAATCACAATAAGTAACCGTAAACTTGATTAAACCACACACTATATTTATTTATAGATTTTTCTAGCACTTATACCACCCTTAACACCCTGAGTCGGTGGGTTTACCACTCTGTAGATTGGTGTTAGTGTTTTTTTTTTGTTGTTTTGTTTTTTCCTCCACCGTTTTGTGTCCTTTTTTGGCCTCTGAGACAGACATGCCACTGATTCTGAAAGCTCACTTTCAGGCCTCTGTAAGTCAATAACATCCCGACGCTTTGACATTGTTCAAAACTAGCCTGTGGTTTATTCAGACCGTCGACTGCGCAGCATCACTTCCTGTGGGACCCGAAACCTTATTCGTCACGTTTCCACACGTCGCTGAACTTGAGTGCCACTGCATTTCGCAGTCTGACAAACTGGAAAGGCTGCCCGCGAACACACAGCGCGCTCTCTCAGGTCTGCGTCAGAGAGCCGTGAGAGGTTAAAGAAGAAGAAGAAAAAAAAAAACACAACAAACAAACATCCCCTCAAGTTGAGAGGTTGACAAGAAAAAAACCCCACAGTGATTCAGTGGTGTATTTCTCTTCGCAGGTCAGTGTTTCACGCCAACCTGCTCTCGTTTTCTCTAAAAGTGCAGCTTCCAGTTTCTAAGAGCCCTACTTTGTCTTGTTTTATCTGGGAGACAAACACTAAACACGAGCTTATCTCCTCTCACAAACATCTCATCAGCACTTTTGGTGAGTCCCGCAGGACACAATAAACAAACAGAGGAAGAGTCTTCCAGTAACACCAGATAACGCCCTCACGCTCCTGCGTCCGGACATGTTGACAGTCCGTGCGCCATGCAAAGATCACATAGCGGGTTAACGGGCCTGACGACGATGATGTGGCGTCATTCTGGCTAAATTAGAGCGCACCACGGGAGTATTTGATTCCTCCCAAGGACGGTTCCCCACTTAGTGCATAAAGACTCGGTTCATCAGGGAGATGAGACATGGCGACGGGGACAAGATCCACTTATTCACGTCTGACATCCCGTGAATGTCTCGCCGTCAGAGAGACGCTCGTTCCAGTCAGCGTGCTTTTGAAACGGAGTTGAGGTGACACGAAAAGGATTCCAAACTGGAGAGAGGATGAAAGGAGGAACGGCGTCACAAAAGGAGACTGAAAAAGAGAGGGGCTGGAGAGGTGGAGGGGGGAAAACGGCACCAGAACTCGATGATGATGATAACATGGTTTGCAGACTCGAGCTGTCATTAACGTCTCACATTTTGTCACTTCGCCACGTAAAATCAGAAACAGAAGATAGTATGCGATAGTTGACACGCTGCATTAAAGAAGTTTTGCAAATGAAATTAAAAAAAAAAAATTCCAGGTGGAAATTTAATAAAAGCTGAAGTTCAGTCAGATTTATGACACATTAAATTGTTACAATAAATCTTTGAAGGATCTTGATTTAATAGGAGTTTTGGCAGCATTTCATTTTCCCTTTGGGATGAATAAAGTATTATTGAATTGAACTGACTTTGAAGAAAAGCAATCAGCGAATGATAAATTTCAAGAATTTTGTTCTGGACTTTGACTAGGCCATTATAACACATTGAATCTTAACCATTTCATTGTTGCTTTAGCTGTCTCAAGTCTTTATTTAGCCTCATCCATCTTCACCTCCATTTTAACCGGCTTCCCTCACTCAGCATGATGCTGCCACCACTATGTTTCACTGCAGAGGTTTTTTTTCTTTTTGCGAATAGATTAAAAAGAAGAGTTGTGTTCTCTATTAAGGATTGCAAGGACACCGCCTGCAAAAGAGATTTTAAATTTAACTGAGTCTTTTCTGGTTAGATAAAATGTAAAAGAAAACTTCTGAAGCCTTCAGAGAACTTGAGACAGATAAAAACACACAGAGGTTGACTGCTAATTAGACTCTGAAGGCATTTAGTTAAATCTGGGGATCAGAATAAAGGGGAGTGAATACCAAAACCTCTTTGAAATGTTCCTTCTTCCACTTGGATTTGATTTGTCTCATCAATTCCTTGAGGTTTGCGGCTGCACTGTGACAAAACATGGACAAGTTTAAGAAAGTTTTTGCGCAGCACCATTTGCTGAGACGTTTGGGATATAAAAGAGATTTAAATTCATAGCAACAAGAGGGAATTATGCGTTTATGGGAGTTTGCAAATCTTCGCTAATTAAAACGATGAGCCTGTTGCTTTGTTTTGAGAGAAAGATTTCCTCCAGAGCAGGGAAAAAACAAACGAGAAAAGCCCTGTCACGTAACAGCGGGTAAGAGGAGAACAAGCGACAGAACAAGGCAGAGAGGCTGAATCCTTCAAGCTATTCTCATCTGCTTTGAACAGGCATTACTCGCGCCCATTTATCCCACTCGGATAACAGCTCTCAGCCGATACTCGGCACTCAAGTTAGCAGAAAATTGTCTTCATTGAGAAGGGAATCAGTTGGCCTCACTGAGTGTTCTGCTTTATTTTCTTCTCTTTGTGTTTCCCATCTTTTTCCACTCCTGCGTTTCACCATTTTCCTCGCTTTTTTTGTTTTGTTTTTGTCATTCTTCCCCCGTTGCTCCTCTCAGAGTTCCTAATCCTCCTCGCAATTTCCCAACAATTCCCGTCTTTATTTTCCTACATTTTCGACAACTAAGCTCCTTTTCTTCCGCTTGTATCTTTTCCTGCGCCCTTCCTCCCTCCCCGGCTCCTCTTATCTCTCGGTCTCCTCTGTCATGTCCGTATCCATGAGGAACCCACCTCAACGCCGGCGCTCCCTGGGTCCCGTCTCACCCAAGCGAATCTACAGGAACCTCTCTGTCAGACTCAGGGGAGGAGAGTCGTCCGTCGCCGCCGAGGTGGATGCACCCAAACACACCAGCAGGCCTGCAGAAGCTGTAAGATGCTAGCACTCTCTTCTACCCCACCACACCATATTTAGCATCGGCAAAGAGCTGAAACTGTTTTGTACCTTATTATAGGAAAACATATAAGCAATTCAACACTAAATCTAATGATTGGTTCTGCTGGATTTGGTGACATGCATGTTTACCTCATTTAATCTCCCGTGGCAACCATTCAGCTGGAAACCTGGGGTGGATCTAGCTCCACCTCCAAGGACAAAGCTCCTCCTTGAAGCTGCAGCTTCCAAGCTTCTGCCTCACAGAGCAGCTCTCCCCCGCCCCACTCGGCTCCTTCAGACTAGCCAGCAGCAATTAGCAAACACCTAATGGAACCGTTCACCAGCTGAGCTCAACCCAGGAGCTACTTCTCAGTGTAACGCTGCTAAAAACGTTGTTACAGGGTTAATAAAGTAGCCGTGTCGTGGTGACTTCCTGGAGGCGGAGTTTCGGAAAGGACCAGAGTTTTTAAAGAGACAGAGGCCCAATTTCAAAGTATTAAATTACAAAGTCAGTGTTCTTGTAAGTCATATTTGATGTAGCATTTTTGTAACAAATTAGAGTAACATTCTAACCTGATTGTGCTATAGAATGGCACTACATGCCTCACAACACTGCCCCTTTAATAAATGAACTCCTCACCAGACTGTGTGAGGAGGAGGATGAGGAAGAGGAGGAGTACTATTGAGCCAGGATTATGCTGGAACCGTGTTAATGAGTCTTTCCACCCCTACACCTCAAATTAAAACGACACTGCGAACCTCTCACTGCAACACTATAATTAAGGTGCTTTCAGGTGGAATAGCTGATTGGAGATTTATTTTGAAGCACAAAGCTAATCCTCCTGTCGCTCATATCACACGAGACAAACAGCGGCTGCACTTTGACTAAGTCGACTGCGTGCAGAGGAGCTCGCAGGAGGCGTTGTGGTTTCGACCAGTTATATGGTGAAGAGCTGTGACTGCGTCTGCTGCACCGGTGTCTTTCGGCTGCGTTGTGGATTGTGTTTCAGTTTGTTTTTGGTAAGCTGTTGCTTAGGAACATGCAGTCGGTGTATTCCCTGCACGAGCACAAAATCTTACTAAGCGGTTTTGGTCTACGTTTCTAGTGCAAATATTCTGAAATAAGACAAGTAACGGCAAGATATGGGAGATTTTATTTAAATAAGTGGTTAATATTCATGAAAAAGTACTAGTTTAAAGTGGAATAATCTGCCAGTGGAACAAGACATTTTAGCGTGTATATAGGAAGCTTCTATACTGTGCTGAAAAGTTACTTTTAAGTTTTGACTTATTTCAAATCTACTAAGATGTTTGAGGTTGAAACTCGACCAAAAATCCTCCGTAAGATTTTGCGTTTTTGTTATCTCTCTAAACAGAGAGAGAGAGAAAAATATTCCTGAACAAATCACCACCACTTTTTCTTTCATCCACAGCTCAAGCCTTTATTCAGTAATAACTCAAATTCCCCGGCTTTCTTTATCTCATGAGGCTGGCATATGAGTTTGTCGTCCTTGGCCGCTTTGATTTATGGATCTTGTGTTTTTTTTTTCTCTTTCTTTGCAACTCCCCTCCCTCCACCTCGCCAAATAAATCTCCTTCGACATCTGAACCCTCTTTCTCGTTCTCTTTTTCACACGCCTTCTTCCGTGGTGCACCCTTCTTCCCTCTGCCCCATTAGTACAAGACCCTGTGGGAGGCGGTGGAAAACGAGGACACTTTGGCTGTGCAGAGCCTCTTGTCCAAAGATCATGCCAGCTGCGGAGGAGGAGGGTCGAGCTTGTGGGAGCGAGGGGAGAAGAAGGAGAAGGACTGGGAGAGAGATAAAGAAAAAGGGGTGAACCGACTGAGCGAGCAGGGGTTGGTTCCTCTGGATGTGGCGGCGCTTACCCACAACTCCCCTCTTCTTCACGTGCTGACGAAGGCAGGCGCCAGGCATAACCCTATTTGTAAGTTTTACCCTTTAACTGATCAAAACGAGCACGATAAACATTTTTCACCCTAATAAATGACGCACATCTGGATTAACGCCTGCGTTACTCCTCAGTATGCCGGCCGGCAGACTGGGGGCTCAAACTGGACGCCCTGGTGGATCTGGCGAGCAGACGGATGGAGGAGAGGAAGTCAGAGCTGGCCAGGAAGACAGGCGCAGGCCCCCAGGCGCAGGCGGAGGTCCAGAGACAGAGCCGCCTCTGGAGGCTGCGGCTGCAGCTGTACTGCCGGATGAGAGAGAACTTCCAGAAGACGGGTCAGTGCCGTCGTGGTTCTTCATCAGCTGTGAAGTTCTCCCAACCCCTTGAACCTTTTCACATTTTTGTTATGTTACAACACGACAGACCTCGGTGTGTTTTTATATGATTTTTTTTTTAGGAGATGGACAAACATCAGTTTCCATTCACCATATAATTGTGCAATTTGACATTTCGAAAATAAATTTTGCACGGCAATTTCTAAAAACAACTCTTGTTTTTCAATAAAACATTGTGGCGTTGGGATGTGGTTGCCGCTGGCGCAAACCACAAAGAAGATGATGACAGGAAGTAGCTGGAAGATGATGCTGTGATTTTTTTTTTTTTAAGGCTTATCGTGTGCACAAGTTTTAACTTGTGATTTTATTTGCGATCCTCATTTAAAGGAAACGCAGCGATTGCAAAAATTCTTCAAGTTATCTTCAAGATGACAGCGCTTAATTACTATTTTATCAATTTGAGCAGTTTTCATCTGTATAGTGCCAAAAGACATCAGTGTGAAAACATGTTCAATATTTATTTTAGGAAGTGGTTATCGAATGCAGAGACAGCTGTTTATTAATATTTTAACAGTTTGATAATTGATTTTATTAATATATTCTGGCACCACCGGCCCTTTGAGAGTATTCATAATTTTGATACGGCCCAAAGAGAAAATGAATTTGACACTTTTGCTTTACACTGTCTGACTTCTAGGACTTTGACTCTGTTTAAATTTTACATCCCTGCTTCATTGAGTTTTGCCTAAGCAAATGAGATGGCGTCTCCTTTCTACGGAATGCCCTTGCTGCGCCCGAGTCCCTCCCCGGCGTTCCTGCTGCACGACACCATGCCAGGGAACGTTGCTGATGCTCGTGTTTTATTGAACAGGAGACCGAAACGCCACGCTTGGTTTGCAAACGAAGACGTCTAACAACAAACAATGTGTTAAGAAAGAGGCTGGAAAATCTAAGCCAGCTGTAATCTGCACAACGTGCATTACAAAGCTTGAAACTTGAAAAATGATTTGATATACTTTACTGAGAATCTTTAGTTTTTTTGCGAACACCGAGTTGTTTAAAGAAGGGTGCATTTTTCTTTTGTTTATATTCAGTCCCTTATTTTTAATACATTAATGTGAATAAAGAATGGAAGGAAGATGTCTCCTAAACAGCCATCAATGCCCTCCCTCTGAACAGTGGAGAAGCTGGGATATAAATTGTGCACCGCTGCATTAGTTCTGCATGGCTCGTCTTTAAAGAGGATGCATGCAAAGTTTTTAAAAATGCATCGTATAAAATCTCCCACCAGATATTTTAACGAGGCTTGAAATCTTTGTATTGAATTGTCTTTTTTTACTCCGGTTCTAATCTACAAAGCCCTCCACGACTGCTGACTATGCCGCTGAGATCAATTAGTCAGCCCACTATCTTGCTTAAGTTTGAATTTTTTTTTCTTTTTCCTTTCCTTCAGCTCTTTTGCTATGTTCTCTCTAAAAGTCTCCCTTTTTAATCTCATCTAAACTTCCAAGCGAGTCCCCCGTCATCGGCCTGTCCAGACTCTCATTGCCATGCGCCTGCTCTCCCTCCACCGGCTCCGCGGATCAAATGAAACCTTGATGCTGGCGGATTTATGCGCAAGGAGTCTGCAAAGAGAAGTTCCTCAAGGCCGCTGCGCTTCTTGCTTCTCACACAAACCCCATTTATGTCTTAATTCTGTTTCCCCTTCAGCGGCGCGACTGGTAGCAGGGGTTGTTATGTTATTATGTCTATTTATTACCGGCTCTAGCGCTTTTTAGTTAGAACTCGTTTCGTTTCTCTTAAGGATCTTCAGATCTCTTTATTACCGCCACTCGTGAGGAGAACAGGGCCTCAGGTCTTACTTCTGTGCGCGGTGAAACTAAGCGTATTCTCACTGCAAATCTCCGGGCGGACGAGAACGCCGGCTGAATGTTTAAAGTCTAAAATATACATGAAATGTGGCCCAAGGTGCTTGACATAGTGGGAATCCATTCAATTCCAGGTCGCCGCTGAGTGTGAGCGAAATATAAATCTCTTTGTCTCGACTCGGCGGGGAGAGAGCGGCGGCTACATTCGATCACAAAGCAGAAAGTCTGAGCCGCTGCCAACAGGTGAGACGACGGCAAACGGCTCCCGCCGCGTTTCAGAACCGCAGGGGGCCTCAGAGGAAGATTTGTTTTTGTTTTAGTTGGAGGTAATAATGTGAAATTATCCATTTCTCCTGGGCTGGAGAATTCGTTGCCCTTCCAACCCCTGCAAAGTAAAAATCTTTTACTCTTGAAAATTACAGAACATTTATATTAATAGGTAGCTGTGTAATTCAATCTACACGTCTGTAGATGAACTGATGGATGGTTGGCTTAAAACATATGGCAGGTGGCTCTCTGTTGCTCCCAAAAATATGATGATTTCTGCTTGACTGTGGATTCAGTTAATAAAACTCCAGCAATGTATTGCTAAAACACCACCTGCGAAACGAGCCCTTGACTTTCACATGAATACACAACGGGGCGCACCGGTTCCCGTCTCTAGCCTTGTTTTTGGACCGTAAAGCCGAAGCATGGGAAGGACACGCAGATTCGGTTGTCATAGCTGTGTTTTATGTTTTCCATGCTTGTTGTTTGACCTTGTGTAATCTTGTCCCACCCAGAGCTCCCAGGCCCCCCCAGTCACGTGTCCTTACTGGTAACCAGCAATTCCTCTCTGTGCGTGGTGATCAAGGAGCCGGACGGTAGCAGCATGGGGCTCATCACCCGCTACAAAGGTAGGTGGTGATAACTCTGGGAGTTTATCAAAGCAAATTCAGTTGTTTTAACTCAAAATGTTCTTAAACACTTAGGGGTGCACCGATTTATCGACCAGCTGATTTATCGGTGCTGATTTATCGGTGCCGATTTCCTTAATTTTGGAAGATCGGTGATCGGCCGATTTTTACATGTGAAGCCGATCTTATCCACCGATGTCATCAACTTTGGCAAAGGTCTAAAAATCAACCACTGTGCTTTTCTTTTCTCGTGCGAGAGGTTTGACTGACAAGCTGGCTGACCAGGTCATGTCTGCGCATCTACAGTTAACAATAGTCACCCTCCTGTTGTAAAAGTCAGCAACTTTCTTGATATGTTGAGCAACATTTCAGACAAAATAATGGTATCAGCCAAAATTGGTATCGGTAAGTTAGGCTTTTTAAAAGATTGGTGATCGGCAATCAGCTAGAAAACTGCAATCGGTGCAGCCCTGATAAACACACAGCACATTTTCCCATAGTTATAACTTATTTAACAAAACAAAACATAAACAGAGAAGCTGTGTGGGAAATATATACTTAATTAGTATTCATTATTTAGTGTTTGGATAACAACTTCTAAAATGTCTGCTGTTCACAAACGATCCTACTGATGATGGTTCGTGGATTCGGTTCCGTTTTATTAGCAGAATCTGGCCGCAACTTTTTTTTTTACCTTAAATGCTCTCGATGTAAAACTTTGGACACATTCATGGTGAACTCGAAGACCACAGGTGATGAGTCTCCAAAACTGGTCCATATCATCACCACTCCACCACCATGCCCTGAGCTGATGTGCTGATTCACAACACCTACATCTTTACTCCTGTCCTCTGGTTTGTTACTATGAAAATCCAGGTTGTGCTGCCATATCCTTCAGAGAGAAGAAGTGTTCTCCTTCACTCTCTCCAAAAAAAAGAAAAAAAGTTATTTTTACAACTGTGATGTCTTGAACTTTTAACATTTAAGATGCTAACGGAGGCTCTCGTATTTCCCCTGGGTGTTTCGCAGCTTCTCTAAGCATTCTGTGTCCGACCTTGAGGTGAATTTGCTGGCGATGTGAAGTCCTGGGAAACTTGCCAGCTGTCTTAAATGTTTTTCCACTCTTGAATAAAAGGTTTTTCACTGAGGAAAAATGGACTTCATATTGTTCGGGAACAGCCTCACAACTTTCTATCGGGAATTGCTTTTCTCACGGCTACTTCTTGATGTCTCTCCGCCTCAGCAGCGTGTTAACACATTGCTCCATAATAGCAAACTGCCAGAGGCGGTCGTCGTGACAACAGGCAGTTCATCCATTTTAAATCTGCTGGCAGCAGTATTTTGGTACGCTGTGGTAGACTCTGTGACCTCAAGGACACGAGCCCACATCCTCACCCTGCCACCACCGTGCTTGACAACTGGCATGACGTGTGTGAACGGATATGTTGTACACGGCTTTTGTAATTATGCTGCAATGCTTGGTCAGGATCAGTCGTGACCTTTTATTGTAATTGTATTGTTTATCAATCATTGTGATAAGTTTCTTATCATAAGAGTTTAGATGTATCGTTGTCATGATAAATTCCAATTGATGACGTTTAAAACCCCTCAGACTCGTCCTTGTTGTCGATATTGAAAGCTTTATTGTTTTCCCCACCATTCGTTCACCGAAAGCATCAATAAACACCAATAAGTTTAAAAATACAGATACCGTGTGCAGCAGTTTAATGGGACAAATCAAAGCGTGGGAATGTTTTTCAAGAGTGTTTGTGAGGATGTGAATACCAACTACAGGAAATGTGCGTCTTTTTGGACCTCACGAGCCACCGTTGCTGGGCCTCATGGTAAAAATGAGCCCTTCAGTTTCGCTGGTGCTACCACTGCATGTAGTTGTGGCGACAAAGTCGTACCTTATCGTCCATTTTCTGCATGTTGAGGGTCAAAACATGCAGATTAAACTTTGCCACCCTACATTCTACTGAAATTTTGTAAAAAAAAAAAAAAAGAACAAACCTTTAGTATTTTATAATAAACTTTAAGATTTAAAATATTGACTGGGGTGAATTTGCTTAGATTTTTCAACTCCTGGGAAGATTGGCAACATTCTTGAATGTTTTCTGCTTGTAGTTCAAACATGTTGGAAATGATCAGTGATCACTGATTTGATTCACAGCATGCGACTGCTGCTTTTCCTCCTAAATTCTTGTTCACAACAAGGGCGGGCTTAGTGCCTTCCTCCTTTTTATTAACATAAATAATGATATTGTGAAATCTGTTTATAACCCAGGTTTGTTTTAAATCATTTTAGACCACAGCGGATGTGTTGCGTCTCATCTTTCCACCTCTATTGGATACAGACGGATGTTTGCGAGAGGGACAGTAAATTATTTGGAACGTGACAGAAAAGAAACAAAAAGGCGTTTCATGGAGTCTTATATCAGTTCAATAAAATCAGAATCCCACACACTGCCAAGCTGGTGTGGAGGAAAAAAACCTTTTTTTATTTGTGCTTCTCGAGTAGGCGTTACTTTTGCAGCCGCTTTATATCCTCCTGCCAAGAGTAGATTAAGCCCATGTTCTTTGAACTGTAAATACTCAGATCCTTTGTTCTCGCTTATTGGAGCTCTGAGCAAAGCCAGGGAGAATTTTGTCAGTGAGACTGTTTCTTTATTTCTTTTTCTTTTCTTTTTTCCCTCCACAGTGGAGTGGAGCACCTCACCCAGCTTCAAACGCGTCCTCGGTACGGCCCAGGTCACAGAAACGAGGAACCCCTCCTATATCATCAACGGACTGACGGCAGTGAGTTGAGCAGCACACACACACACACCGTACTGATAAAAGTATGCAGCGACTCTAGAGTCTAGTATGGGTTATATTTCTGCTCATTGAACCTGGTTTTCCCCACAGCCTCACATTTGCCTCGATGAGATGAACTGATAACAAAGAGAGCTTTCTCACTCCTGTGTCCTTAAGGGTAACGCTCAGTGATAACTTGGCACTCTGCTGCTTCTCCCAAACGCAGGGAACGCACTACTACGTGAGAGCGAGCGCCTACAACGTGAAGGGATGGGGCCCGCCTCAGAGCTCGGCTCCGGTCAGCGCCGCCCCCTCCAGTGAGTACGCCGCGCTGCGGGACGACGGACCGCCGTCGCCGCTGTCCTCGGAGTGGAGTTTTTAAAAAATTTTCAAGATTTAGCTGACTTCCAGCTCCTTGTGAAGCAAGCGAAGGTTGGCAGATGGCGTGAATTATTAAAACACAGAGAATCAGGAATGTCGCTGTGAATCGATGTCGCCCTGTAGCTCGAGTTCGAATTGGCCTCGTAATCTTTCCCTCCCCTCTCTCCAACCTTCTTGCTCTCTTTACTCACTTTTTCTTTCCAATTTACGCCTCCAGTAACACTTTTTTTTCTCTCAAATTGAGTTGAAAAGTTAAGTGTTTAACAGCGCCAAGCTTTTCATTAGATAAGTTTCATTCACATCCAACTTACAGTGGAAGTTCAGAATTAAAAAAAAAAAAAAAGCGTAGAAACTTTCAGAGCATTCAGGTGTTTTCTCATGCAAGAACTAACGCTCCCTTATCTTTGAGAGAAAAGCGGCACTCAGGACTTGGCAGCAAATTAATTCTTGCCTTTTGAATGATTTTTTTTTCTCCCTCCAGCTGCATGAAAGAAATAATTTGTTTTTTTTTTTTCCCCCATGCAGGCTGGAGAGAGTGTGTTGGTGTGAAGATGCCGCTCAGGAACCACGAGGGCTTTGTGAGGAAACTGCTGGAAGATGCCAAAGAATCCCAGTATACAGGATATTATATAGGTAACAATTCATTGGTGCAAATTGTTAAAACTGGCAAAAATACATAACTGGTAGACTGCTAGGCTTTGCAAATGTTTCCATACCCCTTTAATTTTCACATTTTTTCATGTTTGAACCACGAACATTATTGTGTTTTATGTGACAGACCATCACAGAGTGGGAAAAAGATGCTCTAATGGCCTGCATGCAAAGCATCGTGTGGTGGAAAACTAACACTGCACGTTGGCCTAAAACGCACCATTCCCACAGGAATACACGTTGGTGGCAGCATCATCCTGTGGGGAGGCTTTTCTTCTGTAGGGAGAGAGAGAAGCAGGTCTGAGTGGATATGGAGAATAACTTTGTCAAAAAAGTAATAAAGAACCAACTAATGTTTTTAAAAATAGATCTTCCTCAGGTTTGAGGAATTTTTCAGTTTTTTGATGGAATAATTACAGTAAATTTTCACAATAAAATGACTCTAAGAAAATGTTTTAGATAGTTTTTTTGTGTGTGTTTTTAGGTTGGGAACGATGTATGATGTCAGAATCAGGTTCGGCTTTAAAGAGCAAAAACAAAAGTTTTACCCTGTACAGGGGGCTTTATATGAATAAATTTAGGAAAAAAAAAAAAAAAAGTATTTTTTTTAACACAAATGTCAACATCCCACTCTGGGAAATGTATCCACCCACTTCCTTGCAAAATTGTTGTTTTTCCTCATTTTAAAATATGAAAACATAAATAAGATTATGGCTATTTAAATGTGACAACACTTTTTCTTTAACAGATATTTATCAAAAATGATAACATTTGCGGCTCTAAACAATTTCTGTTTTGCCGGACCGAGGGCAATAATGTCTGTTTGGGCTATAAAGGCTGCAGCCCTCTGTTGTAGGCAATGACACCGGCTTGTTGCCATGGAGCACACACACACATAACGACGTTAGTAATGAACTGTTGCTGCCCGTCCTCCAGCCAAGGGTCAACAACATTGGCTCCGATCCATTTAACCTGGTTATTTCCTATTTAACAACCAACACTGGCTGCGTCGACTTCCCGAGGCGCAGCCGTCACTCGTCCTTTTTAAACCCGTCACGTTTAGCGCGACGCATCTCGGAAATAACTCAGCGGCTCGATAATCGCCACCTGGCTAAACATCACTTTCCCTCCTCTTGTTATTTTCGACAGACAGCTCGAAGTCGGCGAGTCCCAGCAAGCGCCTGTTGATGTCTCGGGGCATCAAGCAGCTTTTCCACTCTGCCACCAAGTTTGTTCGTCTCCTGCAAAGGTTTGCCCCGTCCGTCTCGCCTGTCCCCCCACCTCGCCTTGAGAGTAACGAGACACGGCGGTCAAATGGGACGTAGTTAGAGCCGTGCAGATTGCACAGGCTAAACCCAAACGCTTGAAAAGAGCAGCTGACACAAAGGGTTTCCCCCAGAAAACTTTCTAAGCCCGGGGCGCTGGGGCAGTCATTCATCCAGCCGGCCACCATGTTTTTGAATTAAAATTTTTTTTTTTTTAAATTGACAAGAAATTTGAAATTATCCCTGGAACATTAATATCTAAACACCAACTATAAAGTCGTAAAAAAAAAGGCAATAATTAAAAAAAATTAAATAAACAACGCTAAGCCTGGTGGGGACACAAGTAAAGCCTGGTGGCCCGCCAGGCTTATATTACACTGTGGGAAACCCTGTCACAGTAAGGCTTCTGTAGCTCACAAATGATCTAAAACAACCAGAAAGCCACACAAGTCAACATTCATTTCACTCTTTATGTGAAATTACTTTAATTTATTTCCCTTTCCATGTGAGTGACATGTGAAAGTCTTAACAAGGGTCCTCTACGTTACCAGGGGTGTGTACTTGGCCACTGTTTTCTACCACAAGGACAACATCCTGGTGGCCGCTGAGGATCAGATCCCACTGGTGGAGATCCAGTGCTGCTCCACCTCCATCACCCAAGACTTCCTGTGGTTCGCCAAGGTGAGCAAATACAAGCGTGCAAAAGACTGGATTCATAACAGGCTCATAACATATGAACACAAATATTTATGTTCACGCCCACGACGACCGTAGGAAACTGTACATGCCATTTTTTTCCCAACTCAAATGCCTAAAACACCTGCATGTCCCTCCATTCTCTCTTTCAGCTGTCCTGCGCATGGCAGCAGGTGCCCTGGCTTCAGCAGGGCCTGTCGTCTGCTCACTCCTCGCCCTCCTCCCTCCTTCAGAACCGGCACAACATCTTAAAAGCCGTTTCCCAGCTGCAGGTAGGAAGTTGAGCCTCTTATTCTCCAGATAAGCGCCGTCACGTTGGCTTAATTGCAATTTTAATGACCTCCTTTACATCTCCTCCTTCTCCCCCCTTTTCTCTCCTTGTCGTCTTTTTGCCGAGCTCGTCTAATCTACGCAAGCATCCGAGGCTGTGTTTTAACACGCACTAATCTTTAACGTCCTCAGTTTTACCTTTTGCTCTTGTGTCTGCTGTCAGTCTTCTCTAGGAACAATGGATTTGGGTCAGGTGTACTACGAGCCGCTGAAAGACAGGCAGGGCAATCTGCTAATAGTGACGTTGAGGGAGTTCCCAAATCCTCCATCAAGGTGAGACGGAGTCTTTTCACCCAGCCTGTAGGAAATGTGTGCCAAACTGAAGGCACGGGGGCCAAATCCAGCCCGCTCTAAGTTTTCATGTGGCCCTCTAGACTCTTCAAGGACACAAGAGTCTAACTGAGTGCTTAAATGTGATCTTATCAGTCAAATCAAACCATTTTTGTTATCTCTGTACTGCTACTTTTATATTGATGTGAAAAGATGTTAAATATTATAAAATTTCAAGAAGTACTCATCGAATGAAGAGATGAGTTTTTATTGTTTTTTGTAGCAGTTTATTGTGTAGTTTTATCACTACATTCTTCCACAACCAGCACTTTGAAGACATTTGTGATCTAGATATGGCCCAAAATGAAAAAAATGTTTGACCCTGCAGTGCAGCACATTTGTTGAATGAAAGATATTTGACTCTGATTTTATTCTCGCTCTGCTTGCCGTACTTTTCTGTTGTCGTTCCTGGAAGAAAAATGACAGAGTTTTGCTGAAACATCAAAGTTTTGCTCTGTTTCTGTACATCAGCCCTCCTGACCCCCCATTCCACTGGATTCCTCTGGACCGGCTGGAGCGGAACCGCAGCAGAACCCCTCTGCTGCCCGAGCCCACTGCCATGGATACGCTCTTTGAGCAACTGAAGGTGAGTTTACGTTTGGTCAAAACGGAGACGAACGGTGTTTAAATTTACTGGAAACCAAATGTGTCCTGCTCCGCCAGGACAAGCTGTCCTTCCACAGGCACAGCATCCAGTGGGCCCAGCCCGGCCTGTTCGTGGGCATCCTGAAACTGTGCAGCTCGGTGGACCAGATCAGGGTCCTCGTGCCGCAGCGGCTGCCAAACCTCCTCTGCCACACACGGGTCCGACACAATCCACACGTGACCAGGTAACGCCGAGGGACGTGCCGTTAAAGTTCACAGACACAAACAATACTCAGAAGTTATTTAATCACTGTTTTCTTCTTCTCTTTGTCACCGGGCCACAGAGAGGAGTGGACCTGGCTCCAGAGCCATGTTTACACTGCACACAGCGGCAGCGCTCAGAGTCCGCCGAGCGGCGAGGACGAGAGCAGCGGAGTGGAGGAGTTTGTCAGGTCTCTGAGAGCCGCAGTCACACTTCTCCTGACGAAGCTCAACATCCCCCTCTACAGGGTAAAACTGGAACAAAACCTTCCTCTAAAAATGACTTTCCTAAAGCCTTGCACTGCCATGGGCAGCATTCATTTCTAGTAAACATGCTGAGATTAGCCAGGTTGATGTATGTATGCGTGCTGATGGGGTTTTATGTGATGGACAAAATGGCCGATACGGTACAAAACCAACTTTTGTTTCAGCAGCTTGTGACGTGTCCTGCCAGCTTCACACGCCGAGAAATTTACTTTATTTTTATTTTTTTTATTTCTCATTACAAAACAGATCAAGTGGGATTGGACAGAGCGCATCTGTAAACACGAAATGTTAAATCTTGCCACAGATTATCAGTTACATGTAAATCTGAACTTTGACTAGGCCATCATAGCTGTAGCGCTGAACGTTTGTCCTGCAGGAAGGTGAACCTCCTGCACGTTGCTCAGCCTCATCCGACTCTGATCAAATTCCCTGTCTGTGTTTGGGGAAATGTATCACCATAGCATGATGCCTCCACCGCCGTGTGTTAACAGTGTTAGTTTTCTCTCAAACTTTGTGGCCTTCACAGAAAATCTGTGTTTACATCCACAACCAATGAACTCTGCACCTTGTGTCATCTTTGAAGCGAGACGGTTGCATTATATTTATTTAGGGGTAACAGAAAAAGAGGGGGTTTGAAAGAACATTTTAGATCTTTATTTGCGAAACAGATTGTCCTGTCACTTCACAATTACACACAGCATATATCAGGGTTCTTGTCTATCCCGTAGTAATAATATATATTTCTAACCCAGGTTTCAATATGTTTCTTATCTAACTTGACGAATGAGGCACATTCCTCATCTTTGCCTATGCAACCGTGGTTCTCGCAGGCCTACCAGTATGGCGTGTACACGCAGGAGCTGCTGCAGTTCGGTGGGAAGGTCTCCATGCTCCTGCTCCTGCCTCCCAGTGAGGACTTCAGCTCCAGTTACTGGCCTATGGTGGGAACCAAAGAGCCCGGCCTCACCCTGCCTCTGCAGATCTTTGAACTGGGTGAGAGGGAAAACACATGTGGCTTGGATCTGTTTTGAATGAGGTAGAGCAGACTGGGTGAATCGTTTCTTGATTAAAGCTTCGTTATGTAACTTTTATTTTTTTTTAAATCTATGTTTTTTTACATATTTGTTAATATTGTCAGTTCTTTGTGGCAGTACAGTATGGGACAGAAACAAACTGACAACAAATGAAGCTCCTCAGCTTTCCCCCAATACCTCTATTAGTATCTGCAGAAATGCAGAACTTCCAATCAAAAACAACCAATCGGAGCCAGGAGGCGGTTTTTAGCGCTGTCAATCAACCCAAATGTACTCGCTGCTCAATGTGCTAAAGGTGCAGAAACAACTTAACGTTCCAGGAAAACTATTTGTCACCCATCATCTGTGGCCATGCTAACTAGCCGTAGCATTCATGGCATGATTGACAGCGCAAAGACCCTCCTCCTGGCTCTGATTGGTTGTTTCTGACTGAGTTGTGTATTTCTGCAGATGGCTGTAAAACCACAGGGAGAATACAGAGAAGCTTGATTTTTTTTTTTTTTTTTTTTTTTTTTTTAAAAATACCTGACTCATGTTAAACAGAGTGTAAAAAAATAACCTCACTTTAAAGTGTGACTTCTATGGACCTATGAAAGAAATCTTGCAAGAAAAGCGTTGCGTCCTCTCCATAAGAAAGCTGTGTGTTGTTGTATTTGATAAAGTATAAGGCATTCGTTTTATAGAAATGCCACTTTAAGATCAGTTTGTGCCATATCCAAAAGAACTAAAGAGCAGAAATTAAAAATAATTGCAGTGAACAACAACAAAAAAAGCCAAATTCCTGTGGGAAAGAATCTGATTATTCAAGCTTTCAGGTCAATTTAACATCAGCTCTTCTGTTTGCTCTGTGACTCGTCATCATCCAGTTCACTTCTGGACCTACGAGCGGGACTTCCTGACTCAGTACTGCCAGGCCTGGGTGAGGCTGGAGCTGGACACTCACCTGGCCCAGCAGGCCCTGCGTGAAGCGCTGGACACCAAGGAGGTGCAGGAAGCCCGGGAGCGCCTCAATAACATCACTGACCTTTCTCGTGTAAGAGCATAAAAAAACAACCTTTTTATATTTCTAGCTGGATAAAAGCTGAAATTGATTACTGATGAGCATTTACCAAAGGAAACCGACTCCCTGGATGTCGGCCAGCAGTAAAATGGATTGAACTATTTTTCCCACAGCGTTTGGAGATGGCATGGAGGAACGCCCGTTGGATAATGGACTGTCTGCAGTGTGTCCGCTCCAAGCAGTGGGTGGGGGCGGTGCCTTTGGGCCTGGTGATGGGGGGGGACCCACCGTCCTGTCCTGACGGCGAAGAAGAGGAAGACAGCTTGACTGCAAGGTTGAAGTGGCCCAGCCGCATCCAAACACAAAGATCTTTAGCAGGTAATGGCAGCGCCATGCATGGTTAGCGTGCCTCGTTTAATCTTTTTAGCACAGTTTTTAGAATTAAAGATTGAAAATGTTGCACAAGAGTTTGATCACAGTAAAATATTCTGCACTAACAGTCATATTCAAACATCTTTGTCCCTTACTTCTCTTTTTAATCAGATGTTGCTCTTTGTGGGGTTTGCTAAGAAGATAAAAGAAAATGTTAGCATGACTAGCATATGAACTGGGTTCCACCTGAGATCATCTAAAATGTTTCCTCACACCTTAGCTCTGTAATCAGAACTTTTTATAAGAAACTTTTAAAAGTTTATCGCAAAAGAGACCAACACAAAGTTTCTACCAGCTTTACACATATAAAGAGTCCATTTTTGACCCGTTTTTCTTTTAAAGTAGCTTGAGGTCAAGAGTGTCTGTTGATATTTTCACCATAAAATCACAACACATTTAAGCTTCAGGTTGTAAAAAGGACAGAATGCGAGAAAGCAGTGTAAGATGAAAACCTTCTCATATTTTACCTCTTCAAAAGTCTTCATTGTAGAAATTACCTCCTTTTTTTTTTTTTTTTTTTTTTGGGCAAAAAATTAAAACCTGGGGAAATGTCCAGAAAGTCGTCCTCACTCCCAACTCCTTTCTGATTCTCTCTTCACTTTTCAGGAGGTTCCTCCGGTGTCCCCATACCGGTTACCACCGAGGTCCACGTTCCAGAAAGAGTCCCGCTTGTCCGGGAGAACGCTGCGCTCAGGCTGATGGAGGGCATCGTGAAGGGAGGGTACCCAGTTGACATCAGCTCTCAGTCAACGGCGGACCTGTCCGGCGTCGGCCTGCCGGAGGACGGATACACCAGCGCTTTAATGGACAACGGACTTAGCTCTGCCGCTGTGGCTCAGCTGGAGGCCACGGTGTTGGACACCATAGACTTCAACCCCAGCATCACGGACGTCATCCGGCCGATGGAGATGGCGGAGCTGGTGGACATCTTGCCGACGCTGAATCTTATTGAGGAGGACAACCCCTGCGCTCCATCCACGCCGTCTGTAATGGACATCCTGGAGAACTTTGGACTTGGGATTGGGGAGGAAAACACCCACTTTGACTTGGAGATTGACGACAGGAGGGCGTCGAAGGCGAACACTGAGAGCGAGGCGCACTGTGAGGGTGTTGAGCTGAACGGAGAGGGAGTCGCGCCTTCTTGTGCCACTGCAAATGGTTCAGAGAGAGACGCACCACTTTCAGGGCGCGACTCGCCTCGGGACGACGGACAGACGAGGGAGGCTCCAAGTAAGGGAGCATCACTTCCTGTGAGAAACCTGGTGGAGTGGGACAGACCGTCCACCAGTTCATCCTGATGTCAAACTCTGTCAGCTTCAAGTTGCAATCACACTCCAGCACTCCATGAAGAAGTGAAAAACCCAACATATTCTTTTTTCGATCACTGTATTTATTCATAGTAGATAAAAACTTGAGTTAGGGCTGGATGATGTTGGGGTTGGATGATATGGGCGTCTCATCTCAGTCGATATCAATAATTACTGATTGTTTTTTTTGTTTTAAATATCTGAAATACTCCCAAACTGGTTACATGTCCTTTCCTGTTTTAGCCAGTTTTCATTCCACGCCATTTTTAAACCTTTAAGCAGTTATGAGGCACAGTGGCGAAACCTGAAACTGCTTCTGCGCCAGTTACTCAACAGGTTGTTGCTAGGCAACCAAAGAGCGAGTGAGTTGCTAGGTAACGAATGAGTGAGTGAGTGAGTGAATCAGTTGATGCCACTGACCTTGCTTAGCTGGCTGCGAGAGGTTGAGCTACTAAAGCACAGGTGTCAAGCTCCAATCCTGGGGGGCCACTGCCCTGCAACTTTTAGATGTACCTCTGCTGCGCCACACCTGAAAATAATAATTAGGTCATTAGCAAGGCGCTGGAGAACTTGACACAAGGAGGAGGTAATTAAGCCATTTCATTCCAGCGTTTTCTACCTGTGGCACATCTAAAAACTGCAGGACAGTGGCCCTTGAGGACTGGAGTTTGACACTCCTGTACTAAAGCCTTTCCTCTGCTTACATCTCCCAGAATGCTGTGCGGTTCTGGATTGGAGTTCAGTGAAATTATTGAACATTCTATCAGACATTACATCTGTAGATACTGATCACGTGTCTGTATCCATCTATATTGTTGTTGATTGATTGTCCAGCCCTAACTTGAGTATATCTTGTAATATTTTAGTCTCTGTGACATATTGCACCCAGTTTGATGAGTATAAACAGAAAGCTGGACTTGTTTTTGCACATTTCTCAAACTTTCATTTTGCATTTTTCTAGCATGTAAACTTCTGCTCATAAGTTTTCATTCTGAATATGAAAAAACAAAACAAAACAAAAAACAACCATGTGTTGCTTAGTGGTTGACGAAGTCATTTGGTCATTTTGCTCTTTTTAAATCATTAGGACAACAGAAACTAACCAAGTGACCCTGATAAAAAGTTTACATATTTCATGCCATGTGTTGCGCCCTCATGGAACCAGCAGCACCAGTTCTGGCTTTTGCTCCGGGTTCTGCCCTCACGCTGTTTTGTTGCAGTGCCTTTTCTTCTGGCGACTCAACCCTGCAGCCTTTTTTTTTTTTTTACATCAGACAAAGTTATTTGGGTTTTGTGTAAATTTTTTTGGCATGTCAAATAACTTGTCGGTCTGCCTGACCTTGGATTACTTTCAACTAAATGCCTCATTTTTTACTTTTCATGTCCCTTTTCTGTTTTATACAGTTCAGTTACCTTCTAACACACATCCTTTGTTAATATAACTTTCTCTGTGGTTATGAATCTAGAAAAACCAGTGAGGTTATTGGGTGAAACCATGAGTGTCGGAAAAGGTTTTTGTATTATCATGTATATTTTGTCAGTGTATGTAAACCTATGAGCACAACTTCGGTTCTCTATAGCTATATGTCAAATGTACAAAAAGTAATAATAATAAGCTACAGTAGCAGTCATGACTTGAATATTCCTTGCTCACTACAGCACAAAGCTCTGTTGCTTGTCTGAGCTGTGTTCAATTCAGTCAAATAAAAGCATTTCCTTTGGATTTTATATGTAAGGTTTTGGCATTTCAGGTTTGCAGTGTTACTTTTGTTTTTCTGGTACTTCAATGATTATTTATATTCAATAGGAGGGTCATATTTACCAAACAAAACAATGTGTCTGACTCCGAGGGGATATTTCATACTACACAGATTCCAAATGAAAGCATAATAAAAGATATGAGCATCTCCAGTAATTTGAAGTTGACCTAGTGTGGAAGAGAAAAGCTGGTGTGTGAGGAAAAGCGACTCCAACTAGATATAGTTGGGGTTATTTGTCTTATTTTATCTTATGTGACCAATATCCTGTGAGTGATCTTTGTCAAGTGAGGATTTGGGACCACCGACATGGTCAGTGTCCTTTCTCGACGGTTCCCGGGGAATTCCGACGGTGGGTGTTCAGTGCCTCCTAGTGGCCATAAAAGTGAGCTGCAGACCGTCTACAATTTTTACAAAAACTGTATTAAATATCGTATTGCTTTTCGTCGGTTTAATAGACTTTTATTTAATTATTATAGCATTTTCCACCATCGGTAAGTATTTCGTGCATGCAATAACTGTCTTTGAGTTCAAATTGTGCGTCAGTGTGAAGATCCGCTCCCCGTTGCTGCATCTGCGCTCTGACGCCAGATGAAAATTTAACCTTTTTTTTTGTTTGTTTTTTTTACATCCAGGAGGACGTCCGAGTCACAGCAAGAAAACAGGCAACCTGTCGTTTTTCCCTTCACCATCTGCTCAGGAATATTAATCGCAGTAAAGGTTTTGCATCGCATTTTCCTGACAGGATGTCATCTGGAAATGCTGCGTCACACGAAGGTAAGTGTCCTCCGTTCTGCACCAGGGCAGCCGCAGCATCTCGCTGTGTCCTAGTGTGGTTCAGACAGGCATCTTACAGTTGGATCTATTCACGGAACATAAAATTAACACACATTTTAAATCCTTAACAATTTCAAACTTGACCCCCCCCCCCCCACACACCCACACACCCCCCTCCCTATCTATTCATAAAAACGGGGAAAAAAATATATATTGCTGCTTAAGTAATGTGGTATAAATGTTAAAATATATTTTTCAGTATTGCTTCATGAAATTTAGTAAATAAGCTAAACATGTTCTCCAGGTGAGCTTCCCCAACTTTAACATCAGCCCTTCCTGTTCCGAGATACATTCCTAATCATTATGCATCATTCCATATTGGACTAAGACGTTGGCTTCAGGACTCTACTTGTAGGTCTTTCAGTCAGCTGGTTTGATTTTGTTTTTTTGTTTTTTTTACACCTATTTCCAACAAATGTAACTTCAAAACACTATCGACATTACAGCTTATACACCGAAATAAATTGTCGTTTTTTTTCGCCCACCCAGAAAACAACCCAGAAGGACTTATACAGGAGAACTTTCTACACAAGCCTTTTAAATTACAAATACACCGACTGTAATTTACATATGTATTTTTTTTTTTTTAACTTTTGCTTTTATTCAATTTGGGTTTGGGGCCCTCTTGTTTTGCTTATAATGTGGATTGGTTGCAATAAATAGATTATTAAATAATTTAAAAACCTGCCAAACTTACTGCATCTCTGACTGTGATGTTTACATTATATTCTATAGGCACATATAATATGGCATGCATTTATTGGCGTCGATTTCCTCAACTTTGGGGCATTGGTGATCGACTGATACATGTGAGGTCAATATCCACCGATCTTCTTAACCTCAGGAAAGGTTTATAAATCAGCCTCTGTCCTCTTCTGCTCTGTAGTGAGAGGTTTGACTGACTGACCGGGCCTCCAGGTCAGGTCTGCATGTTTACAGTTAACAATATTCACCCCACTGTTGCCAACTCAGTGACTTTCTTGCTACATTTAGTGACATTTCAGACAAAAAAAACTGGAATCGGCCAAAATCAAAATCAGCAGGTCAGGCTTTTTAAAAATCGGTAACCAGGAATCGGCCAGAAAACTGCAGTCATAACTTATAAATTGATGTAAAAATAAAGTTTGTTTTAGATATATAAATAATCATGCTCAGCAGCAAACTAATATATATCGCCAAGTACAGATACAGCAGCTCATTTGAATAATTAATGCAGCAGCCATGTAGCCTGATGTAAAATCATTTTGCTAGACAATGCCGAACATTGAAAAGTTGTAATTATAATGACCAAACTCACCATTTTGAAGCCAAAGAACCCTCATAAATACACAAAACCAACCACAAGAATCAACTCATTTAAAGTTAAAACTCGGTTTCACTCAAATACAAACATTGTAGCATAAATGTTCGGCCGTTGAACTGGACCGTTCCAGGTCCCCATCAAGTTTCTATTTGCAGCTCCACAAATCTTTCTGATAAACATTACGTTACCAGGAAAAAACATGTTTTTATCTTGTCTTTATTCTATCCTCTCTCCCTGAAGGGTAAGTTCCTTCTTTTGCGACATTGTTTTGCTTGCTTATCTTCCACCAGAGCTTTGGATGCTCTCTGCACAGCAGCTCATATCACCGTGCAGAGCAGAACCTACCGCTGCTGCATAGAACAGCTATGCAGGTCAGGGGACCCTATGCAAGAAAGCATCAACAAACCGTGTGTGTTTCTTTCTTTTTCAGGCAGTCAGCCCTCTCTCGAATCGAAGACCGAACCTTTGAGGATTGTACTGCTGGGCAGGACTGGGACGGGCAGAAGCTCCTCAGGAAACACCATCCTGGGTAGACCGGCCTTCTGGGTTGAGCTGTCCCCCTCTTCTGTCACCGCAAGGTGCAGGAGACAGACCGGGACAGCAGGCGGTCGGAGTGTCTCGGTAATCGACACCCCAGGGTTCTTCCATACAGACCTGTCCCCACAGGAAGTCATGGCCGAGGTGGGCCAGAGCGTTAGCTTGTACTCCCCAGGACCCCACGTGTTTTTGGTGACCCTGCAGCTAGGCAGGTACACCCAGGAGGAGAGAGAGACCTTGGAGTGGGTCAAGGCGATGTTTGGGGCTGAGATATCCAGATTCGCCATGGTCCTGTTCACCTGGGGGGACCAGCTCCGAGGCAAATCGGTCGAGTCCTTCCTGGATGAGAGTCCGGAGCTGTCCGGGTTTGTCAGCAGCTGCCATGGGGGGTATCACGTCTTTGACAACAGCAGGCAAGAAGGGACGTCGGAGTGCCCAGAGCAAGTCTTAACCCTTCTTAAAAAGATTGACGAGATTGTTTCAAACAACCGAGGCAGCTGGTACAGCAACGTCACGTTCAAGGAGGCTGAGAGTACAATTAGGGAGGCGTGGGAGAGGATACTGGAGGAGAGAGGACCCAAACTTCAGGCGTCTCTCAAGGAGACTGAAGGAAAGGAGAAAGCAGAAGACTTGGAGAGAGCGAGGAGAGAGGAAGAGGAGGCCAAGAAGAGAGCCGAGAGGCTGTTCTGGTGCGAGCTGCTGACTGCACTGGGCAGAGGAGCAGCGGAGGGGGCAGGTATCGTGGGAAAGGACAAGAGCAAACCAGTGAAGAAGGCGAAGGTGGTGGAGAAGGCGATGGGTCTGGCGGTGTCGCCGCTCTCCATCAGGTCCGCTGCGAAAGTGCTGGAAGGAGCGGTGAAAGAAGGCGGCAAGGTACTGCAGAAACACAAAAAAACCCTGCTGCACTGACGGACTCGCCGACGACATGCTGGTTTGAGTCTCTGAATAAAGATGGACAACCTTTATTATCACAAAGACGTGATGTGTTGAAAGGAAGACTCACAACAGCGTTCTGTTGATCACATCAGATACTTTCAGTCTCTACACGTCTTAAGAGCACTTTAAGACCGGGAAGTAGTGTGAATGTTTCTGAAAACAAAACATGACCAGATCTTTGAGCTAAGAGAATTCCTCATGTAATAAAAGCAAAAAGTGGATTTCTGATTTCATTGACTAACACTTTTGAAATTACAATAGAAATGAGAAAGTTTAAAGTAAAACACTGCAGCTTCTTTGGCTTTTCATAACAATATGATGTTAAGCCCTTTTTTTTTACCCCCCCAACAACAACAAAAAAGAACAATTACACAAGACAAGGTAAACAAGAAATCCATAACCGTAACAAACTTGGCAATAGAAAATACAGTAAGTTATTCAGGGAGTGCCTATTAATACAATCTGTGAGAAAACAAAACATTGGGGTTTTCACATGTTGGACATTTGGTGACGTTTAGTTTAGGAACCTCTCACGATTAAAGCTACGGTCTACCTGAGTGCTGAAAACACCGGCTGAAACAACCTACAAGTTTGTTTTCGTGCGTTCGACATTCAAAACCGTTAGTACAAAAAAAACCAGGCTGGTTATTTCAAAGAGCTCCAGAGTCGAAAGCAGTTTCTGAAAAAGGAAATGTTGGGACGAAAAAAAAAAAAAGCACTCTCCTCGCTGTAATCCGCAGAGAACCGCGGCGCTCACCGGCAATGAGTGTCTCGGGTCCTATTTGCATCTCAGGAAAAAGCAGAATGACACATCCGCGCCGCATTGTCGCGCACGCACTTATACGATTACACACAAACACAGACTTAAAGTACCAGTCAAACAAAACAAAACAAAATAATCTATTTAATTTTGGTCTACAAATATAAGACCTTTAGTCCCTTTTGCTAAAGTACAGCTACAGGGAAAGGCGAAAGGATTCTGCTGTGGCAGGCACTGACGTGAAACCTAAACCGGCATTGGCAGGCTCATCTTCCCTCTTCCTCGGAGAACTGCAAAAAGATACAAGAAACTGTGAGAACGCACTCTGTTTTTTTTTCCTCGGGAGATAGACGATTGAACTCGGTGTGCGGATTTCCTCACCCCTCGTGACGTAAAGGTAAAAGAAGTCGCAGTAGAAGATGGTCTGAACGACTCCGGACACGATGGCGATCTGGTCGTAGAAGCCCTCGGTGTGGTAGCGCCACACCCAGTTGGCGATGTACAGGGCCCTGTAGAGGCCGAGGAAGAACAGGTAGTGGGTGGTGATGGACTCCGCCTCGCCCGTCTTGGTGATCATGAAGAGCTGGGGCATTATGGCGACGGACTCCAGGAAGATGGAGAAGGTCCACAAGATCTGGAGGAAGGATCGAGGAGAGGGACACGTGTCCGTTTCTACCTTCATCACATAAAAAAAAGCGAAAGAGTTTCCAGGATCTGCGGACTCGTATTCGTTTACCTCTAGTGGAGTGAAGGCGTAGTTCTCCAGGAAGGACAGGCCGATCACCGGAATCAGCAAGAACTCCACTCTGAACGTGTCGTTCTCTGAATCGTACGAGTTCCTGAAGCGCATGTAGATCAAATACACCGTAGCGTAGGACAGAGCCAGAAACACCACCTGAGAACAGAGTCAAACACTGATTAAAGACACGACCTTCAACTTATCACTCGCTGGCTTTGCACAAAGCTGCCTGCTTTGCATCACTGCTACGGAAACGAGCTGCTCAACTCATTGAACTGCTAACATATGTGGTAGCTGATAATTCAAGTTCCATCCATTTCAACTCTGCGTGTCGATCGTTTATTAAGCCAGTTCCCTAATTGTGGGAAATTGGCCAATTCTTACATGAGAAACTGATCTTATCCATTGATCTTATCTACCTCCACAAAGGTCTGAAAATCAGCCACTGTCTCCTTTCGCTCTGCCATGAGAGTGAAAGGAGACAGTAACAATAGTCACCCCACTGTTGCCAACTCAGTCGCTACATTTAACAACCATTTAAACCAAAATAAAATCAGTATCTGCCAAAAATCGGAATCAGAGAACTGCAATCATAGTAATGACATTTTCTGAAGCACTAAATGGGGTCAGAGTTAGGGCTAAGGTATGAATTGAGTTTTGGTTAGGCTTAGGGTTAGGTATGTGATGGATAGGGTTAGGAAAAGGGTAAAGGTAAGGTTTAGGCTGTAGAAATGAATGGAAGTCAATGGAAAGCCCCCACAAAGATAGCAACACAAACATGCAGTGTGTGTGTGTGTGTGTGTGTGTGTGTGTATGTGTGTGTGTGTGTGACGCAACTCTTGTAACACATATGGACTTTGCTTCACAGTCCCCTCAAGGCTGCAGTCACCCCCATTTCTTATGCACACTTCAGTCACACTCTTTTTTTCCATCCACTTAGCTTCACATGCTTGGATACAACAACTCCATAAACAGCCAGTTTCTTTAGCAAAGACCTCTTTAGTCTCATTATGTTGAAAGTCTGCTGGACGGTACTCTTCCTTGCGACGTGAAGACCTTAACGTTTTATTTTCCGTTTTTTTCCTCATTGGTCTAATGCAGGTTTTTGTTAAATGAACACAAATAAATGCTTGAAGATCCTCACAGTGCGTGTAATGTATCATGTTACTCTAATTTATGAAAATGAACCTGTAAATGTAGTCGTGTACAAAGGGGAAGTTACAAAAAGGCTCATCTAAAGGAGAACAACACATTCCCCCCCACACGCACTTTAACTTTTCTTGTGAGATAATTAATCAGCGTGAGTTCTCCAACGTACCTTCATGACTGTGTTGTAGGCCGAGATGTAGACTGTGAACAGGTCAAGGTACCTGGTGGTAAAAACAAGTGCGAAGAGCACCTGAGACTTCCCAGAGATGCCTGCGAGACAGAGAAAGCTTGATTATGAGCAGCAGTGGATAATAGCACCTTCATGCTAATTATTAGCATTGACAGTCGATGTAATTGAGTTTAATGATAACCCCAGTGTAATAAAGTAGGCGGAGCACTGTGGTTTGTTGACACTGCCACGTAGCCTTTACACACATACAAGTAACTGTAACTGTAACCATAACTGTGCAAACTGAAACCATAATTTTAGTATTTTTAATAACTACAGAAGGCTTTATGGCGAGTATGCAAACCATGAGGAAATGAAGCATTTACACTGCAAAAACACACATACAGTGACGCCGTGCAGTCATACAGCAGGAAATCAGTTACTTCTGAGGAAGCTCACCAGCACAAGATTTGGACCTCCATATCTTCATCAGCAGGATGAGAATAGCCACCAAATGGGACACGTCACCTGCCAGCCGAAAGATGTTCATGGTGTTGCCCCTAGAGTCCTCACAGGCCTTCAAACTCCCACAACACTGACTTCTGAGTTGTTGACCCACAAAGGGAAAATAAGCTCGGAGCAGATTAAGAGAGGAAAAAACAAGCTAGCAGCTTCGCAGTTGACGTTAGACGGCTCTGTTGGCCGCTTGTCTGAAATATGAGTATGTAAACAGGTAAAAAATGTTCGCAATTTCCAGAACAGACTCCTGGCATGAGAGAGCAATGATGGTTCCAGAGGCAAGCTGAGAAGAGGAGGTGACGTGGCTGTCAAGCTAGCCCGATTAGAATCTGACAGTTACGTCGTTTTCTGTTTGCGCTTTCAAAGTAAAAGTGTTTACTCTTCGGTTCAGATTTAACCCACGTAAAATAGCGAAGAAAACGTCTCATACACGAGTTTCACTCAGCGACAAAAAATATAAGCTGCTGTTTGTGATCATTTTAAGCTAAATTCTATGTCTGTTTTGTGCAATGAAATTGTAAGCTTTTATTTTGAAAGCTCATCATTTTATACGGATTTCCTGTGTTGTTGTTTTTTTACTGTGTGGAACTTGACAATCTAGAAGAAATGGCATTTTAACCTGTAAATCCTTAATTAAGCGGCAGGTGGCGAGAAGCTACCAGGAAAATACAAGACAAAAACATCTCTTATTCAATAAATTAGAATATACGTCTCGTCCGTCAGATTAAAAGTACATTTTTGAAAATAACAAACTTTTAGCAGGCAGTTTTTTTCTGATGTATTCTAATTTTAAATGTCATATTTTCATAATTAACAAAAATAAAGATTTTCAAACATCCAATTGTGTGTAACTACGTGTTTCACTTAGTAATAAAGTTCCGGAAATGAACGGACTTTTCAAGAATATTCATGAATGGGTCTGTCCATCCATAAACAAATGTCTAAAATACTTTTTATATATATTTTTTGGGGACATTTTTAACAGCAATTATTATTTTAAAAAAATATTTTTCAACAGGTTTTGTTCTGGCATCACTTACTCACCACTGATATAGCACCTAATGGTTGCTATGGTGACTTGGTTACCCCCCTTCTCCCCCCCACACATATATATATATATATGTATAGAAATCCCAGACAGAGCTGACCCATGTGAAAGCTGCCATAATAACCGTGAGCTGAGCAAAAGGTTATTGGAACTAATCTGACACCCAGGCCTGATTAGAAGCTATTTATACATAGACACAGCATGGTGAGGATGCCTGACTGGTTGTGTTTCCTCACATGATGGAATGCGGGCACGACGGTTTGTCATATTTACGTTTTTGCAGAAAAAGATCCAGTTAGTTAGCTTAGTGCAGGTTAAACATTTAGACTTTTTAAACTGGCTGTGACACTTCCCCCATCAAGGGCAAACACAAAGTTCAGATTAGGAAAACAAAATCTCCCATTAAACGCTTTGTAGAGCCATTTCACTACAATTACATCTGTCAATCTAGAATATGTTTCTGTCAGTTTTTTATATCTAGAGTCTGAAAATGAAATGTATTGTATGCTTAGGGAAAAAACAAAACAACAAATGAGCAGCAATGAATCTTCTATTTCATTATCTGATACTGTAGATTACATTTAGACAGCCGAGTTTGGTGACTTGGTTGTTTTAGAAAGAAAATTGCTGTGATGATGGTTAAACTGTTACTTTAAGAGATTTTCTCTTCCTGGAATCAAAGTGTGAAATCCCTCCCTCTTTTTCTTGTTTTCAAACTCACGTCAAAGCTGGGTTGTACCTGCATCAGCTGAGGGTGAAATCTGATTGGCTGCAGCCTCTCGGCATCAACCTGTGATTCGTAGGTCAGAGAACAAACCTGTTTCTGTTTTCAAGGAGTGAAACTCACACAGTCGCTGTAACCGAGAGGAGAAATGGAGCAGCATCAGCTGGACCAAGAGACCTTTTCCTGCTCCGTCTGTCTGGATCTACTGAAGGATCCGGTGACTACTTCCTGTGGACACAGCTACTGTATGAACTGTATTAAAAACTTCTGGGACAACAGCGAGGAGAAGAAAAGCTACAACTGCCCACAGTGCAAGGTGACCTTCACCCAAAGGCCTGTTATAAAGGAGAACACCATGCTAGCAGCTTTGGTGGAGCAGCTGAAGAAGACTGGACTCCAAGCTGATCCCTGCGATGCTGGACCTGAAGATGTGGCCTGTGATTTCTGCACTCCGCAGAGACGAGGAAAAATCCAGCAGATGATCCAGAGCAGGGAGGAAGATGTGAAGCTGCTTCAGCGGGAGGTGGAGGTGGTGATAAAACAGTGGAGGACAGCGAGAAGATCTTCACCCAGCTGATCCGTCTCCTTCAGAAGAGAAGCTCTGATGTGAAGCAGCAGATCAGATCCCAGCAGGAAACCGAAGTGAGTCGAGTCAAAGACGTTCAGGAGAAGCTGGAGCAGGAGATCACCGAGCTGAGGAGGAAAGACGCTGAGCTGGAACAGCTCTCACACACAGAGGATCCCAACCGGTTTCTCCTCAACTACCCCTCACTGCCAGCACTCAGTGAGTCGACACACTCATCCAGCATCAACATCCGTCCTCTGAGACACTTTGAGGATGTGACAGAGGCTGTGTCAGAGCTCAGAGACAAACTACAGGACTTCCTGAGAGACTCATGGACAAACATCTCACCGACGGTCACTCAGGTGGATGGTCTACTGTCAGAACCACAACCAGAACCACAGAGCCGAGCTGGGTTCTTGAAATATTCACATAAATCACACTGGATCCAAACACAGCAAACACACAGCTGAGACTATCAGAGGGGAACAGGAAGGCGACGGTGACGACTCGGCACCAGTCGTATTCTAGTCACCCAGACAGATTCACTTACTGGTGGCAGGTCCTGAGTAGGGAGAGTCTGACTGGATGCCGTTACTGGGAGGTGGAGTGGGGAGAGAGAGTGTTTGTAGCAGTCGCATACAAGAATATCAGCAAAGCAGGAAGAAGGAATGACAGTAAATTTGGAGGTAATGACAAATCCTGGGCTTCAAATTGCTGCAGGTCTAGTTTTGAGCACGACAACATCCCGACCTTCATCTGAGGTCCGATATCCTCCAGAGTCGGAGTGTACCTGGATCACACAGCAGGTCTTCTGTCCTTCTACAGCGTCTCTCAAACCATGACTCTCATCCACAGAGTCCGGACCACATTCACTCAGCCGCTGCACGCTGGACTTTTTGTTTGGCACACTGGAGACTCTCCAGAGTTCTGTAAACTCACATAGATTATTTTCAGGTATTTCTGATTGTTGATCACATTTTTGTGCTCTGGTGCCTCTGATCTGCTGCTCTGTTCACATTTTGCATGTTTTCGTACTTCTATTTGGATTTCTACTGCCTATAAAAAAACAACCACTGATCATTGAATCGATCAGCAACCTGCGAGTGTTAAATGCGGTTCACTTTGCGTCTCAATGTCACCGTGAATGTTCAGTGATTGTTTATGGACAACACTCGCCTGATTTAAAAAAAAAATCCATTTATTCTACTAAACATGTATGCATAAAAGAGACATTATGAGTGAAACTGTCATTAGAAAAATGTTAATATTTGAAAAATATAACATTATTATATTTGCCAGTAGGTAAGACTGATGCTCAGACAGGGAGGAAGCTCCTGATCGTCTTCTTTCCTCTCCGTCTCCTCCTCCCATCATGACCTGCAAAGGACTGATTGACGCAGCACTTTCAGTCTGCTCTGAGTTCACACAGCACAGTAGAGTAGACAGGATTACAATCAGTGGAGGAGGAAGAGCAGGACAGACAGTAAAGGATTAAAAAGACAACCACAACTGGGATGAAATAAGAGATATGCAACAAACGTGAAACTAAAGGAGGAAAAAATAAACTGGAGGAATAAAGGAAAATTACGAAAAAAAAAAAAGAAAGAACATGGGAGCATCGGCGTGACAAGTGAACGCAGGGTTCACTCCTGAAGAAGGAGGATCAAACACATCCAAGCAATACAACAACGTCTGAACTGCAGGGTGAGTAGAGATGTTGATCAATTCACAGCGTTTTTTTTTTTTTTTTTGATAACCAGAAGATGTGCACATGAGGGAAGATGTGTTTTACTTTAGTTGTGTGCTTTTCAGCAAATTGTTCACATTTTATGAGCTCAAACGGAAGCCGACAATGTTAGTGTGCCTGGTTTTTGTTCAGAGTCAAGCCGGTGCCTCTGCCACCTTCAGAAAAGAAAAAGAGGGAAAATAATTCAGTCTTATTATTAAATAAAAAAGAAAAAAAAAATAAAGAAATCAATGTTATTATTATGAGATTAAATGTGGTCAAATTTAGAAATGTTTATCAAGCAGAAGTGTTCAAAATTACATAAATGAGAAGTTTTTGATGCAAAGCTTTAATGGTCTAAAATACAAAAAATGAACTTAGTTGAGTTGATTGAATCTACATCTTTATTCCACTGTTCCCAAAAAACAGGGATTAAAAACTCAAGAGGAGAAAAGTTTGTTGTCCTACAAGGAAAAAAAAAAAAACTAAAACTAAACAGGTGTTGTTGTTTCCTAAGTAAGTTTTTCTGTCCTGGAAAAATGTCTGTGTATTTATGGTAATTTTCAAGACAACCTATTTGCACAATTCTGATCATACAATTAAGGTGTCTGAGCTGCTGCTGGCCACTGTGCCAAATAAAACAGGAAACATGACACTAATAATGTGCCAATCTTTCTGAGTTCGACTAAATGTAATAAAATCAATCTTAGCAACACAAACGCAAAGGTAATTTTCTATTTAAAGCCACTCAGGAAACCTTTGTTCTATAACTTGTCACTGAATGTGTTAGGTAATAATTCAAACCTTTTCCAAGACAGTGACTTCATTTCCTCCTTTTAATGACCTGCATAAAGACTACTTTGCATAATTGCTTCTCTAAATGCCATTTGGCGGCAATGCCCCCATCAGGCCATAAAACTCTGCTGTCCACGCTGTGCGAGTCATGCTTTTTTCTTTCTTTCTTTTTTTTTTCTTTTGACAGCAGACTTCCACTTCTGCCACCAAGTACTTTTGTGTTTTTGAGAAACCAAAACAGGATATTTAGGTGAAAAACCTCTGCACTGGTGAGAAGTTCTCCGTCTTTAAGGTCTTTAAGGAATTATTTTTTGTGTGTGCGTGCAAATTTTTCTTTACAAAAGTTCAGATTGAACAAATAATGTTTATTGACATCAATTTTTTAAGCCTTGTCCCAGATTTTTGATTGGACCGAGGCCTGGACTTTGATTGAGCCACTTAAGCACATGACTAAAAATGTCAACCTATAGAAGCTGGTAGAATGATTCCTTAAAGGCTTGCGTCTGTAAACGCAGCAAAAGATGGTTCTAGAAAGGGTTCATTCAAATTTATGCGTGTTAGAAAAATTCAAACGATCCTTCGATCCTTTTCTTCTCATTACAACATTGTGTACCATTTTGTGTGTTGGCTTGTCACAACAAATCCCGATTTAAAAATATATATATATATATTGAAATGTGAGACACTAAAATAAAAACATGTGAAATGGGTGTTTAAGGAATGTGGTTTTTTTTTTTTGTTTTGTTTTGTTTTAGCTTAATTTGCAACTAAATGTAAAACTGATCTGAACTTCATGGAGGAACGTTAGATGTTACACATGTCCAGATACATTACCCCATCAACATTTAGCAAACCACAAAGAGACGTCCCCCAGAGCGAAGCACTGTGACAAGATAATCCTGTCTTCACTCTGCTGATGCAGAAGAGAAGGTCAAAGGAGTTCACAGAGTCCTGATATATTTTACATGATTGGATCAAAATGAAATCTAAATCCAGATTTTAGTTCACTGATTGAATAACTCCGGCAAGCCTGCAAGGAGAAGCGGGGATGGATGGATGGATGGATGGATGGATGGATGGATGGATGATTGAAATATAGACTAGTCAAAATCAAACCCAACATGTTCAGTTCATGAAACCTAACATTCTACAGAAATACAAATGACAAAAAGTCATGATTTGGAGTTTCACAGTTATGTAAAATGTAGTAATTTAAGATATTTTGTCCCGTATCTTTAAGTAGAAAGTTAAAATTCACATGATTGCAACTAGCAATCATGTGACTGCTAGTTGCAGTCACCTAGCAATTCCTACACAATTCCACTTGATTCTCATCGCCATCTAAGTTTTCTCCCATTGAAGTGGATTCCTATAGTAGAATTTCAACCGGGCCAATCAGAAAACAGAAGGAGAAGTTGTGAACGATGAGACGTTTTTCTGTGCTGTTTTAGTATTGCAGTCTGCCAATGTTTTAGCAGTGGCAGTGGAGGAAGTAATCGAAGCCGTTCAGTCCGCATTGGCCATTCTTTCAAATATTGATAATAATTTTGTTGGGCTTGGGCCTTTTATTCTCACAGTGGAGGATATTTGTTTACATCTTAAGCTTCATAGAGTCAAGCTGGAAATACATACGTCACGGACAAATGTTAGCAATTGAGTAAAGTTTCAAACTTCAACAGAGGAAGCAAAGGTTTCCCAATAACCAACCGTCCAGACCCTCTGTAGAAAGCAAAGTGTAGAACAAGGGGCTGGTTTTTTACCAAACTACATTGCAGCTACTCTGATTCTGGATTTCATTCATATTTTGCTTTTGTTTAGGTTCCTAAACTCTTTGGTGGCTCTTCAGATGCACCTCATCAGCCATGGAGACCTAAAGTCTGGGGGCACAGCGTGGTCTGTCGTCCCACCGTGGCCCATTCACAGCAATGACAGGTGCCATGGGAAGTAGGTCCAACAGGTGCGTAGCCTCCATCCGGGTAGAAACGACCTCCACCTTTAGGCTTTATTTGACTGCCTGTATGTTGTTTTTAGTTGTCATACTGCAGCTGTGGTTGTCTCACATCGTACTGTGAGAATATAGAGGACTTGTTAATATGGCTTGGCCGGGTGAGTCAGCCCCAGCTCAGGGGTATTTACAGCAAGAGGATCTTCAGAAAGGCCAAGGCCACCCTAAATTATCCTGCATGTAGGCAGGCAGTGATCTACAACAGTTACTCAGGTGAAACGGATTCACCATGTTAACACAGAAAGTTCAGCATAACCAGGTCTAAAATGTTCTATACTCACGAGGTTCTGATTGCTTACGTCTTCTGTCTCAGGGTTTTGTATGGGGGAGCCAACCGAGGATTCGTTGACTTCGCTAATGGAGTATTTCCCCAACCACATCGATTATGTGTCAGTGGGTAAATGGATGATCAACTGGGAGTTTTGCCATTTACCTACACATGGAAGTGACATAAACACCCGTCACTCTTGAAATAGGTTGTCAGACTGACACTGATTCAAATCTAATCCCGTAATCTGATGACAGCAATCCGTCTCAGATCGCTAAACTGAACTCACCTTCCCAGCAGGTAATCCTCCCGGAGAGACAGGTTACTTTGGATGAGCCACTCTGTGGAACAGTAATTTTGCAAATTTGAGTGGATTGTGTCTAACTGAGAGATTTGACTCAGTTACATGCGATGTGTTTCCATGAATGTTGCTATGAGATTTTCTATGTTTCCTAAAATGTAATCGGGGATCCCAAAGACAAGTGTTTGCCTTGATCTTTAGTTCTTTGTGGTATCTGGTGCACAGATTATTTTCTGCTGACTGTAATATCAGTACATTGTCCTATAAAGACATTTTGTACTTGTACTTTTAAAGAAGTGCCACCGCTCTTTTGTAGGATTTTTCTCTACGACTTGAACTTCACAGTTACAAAGCAGAAATACTTTTGAACCAAAAATATCTTCATAATGTTCTTTCAACTCTTTCATGATATTATTCTGTTTTCAACAAACATAAGGATAAGTGTAATGTGTTTATGCATTAATCTGTAGCATATGATGTGGATGAAATATTTGCACACCCTCACCATGGGAATGGATGTCCTACTAGTTTTGAGTTTTTAATGATAAATTTGGGTCATTCATTTTCAAGTGTGTGACTTATTTAAGAGCATATGTTTAATCGAGAAAAAAAACAACATAATAAATTCAAACTCCTGCTTTTTTATTCTTTCAAATGGTTTCTTGACCTCAACAAAAAGACTGAAACGAATCCTCAAAGGCCCAAAAAGAAAGTGACATTCATGCAGATGCTTGAGTCTACTTTAATTTTGTAATCGTTCCTCAATAGAACATTATTATTATTATTATTATTATTATTATTATTATATTTTACCTATACATATAAAATATTTAATGTTAACGTTAATGTTTGACAGGTACAGCATTGTGTCAGACATCATACCGGAGGAGGAGCTGCAGAAGATTTCCAGCCTTGCGCTCTACAACGGTCACGGTTCTGCCAACGTGAAGGAGCAGAGCAACGCGGAAAGAGAGGAAGGCAGAAGGAGGCCCGGAGCCTCCACTGTGGTGCCCGGCTCCAGCAGACAAAGAGGCATGAGCAACTACAACGGGAAGGTCCTGACGAGGGGCTCCAGCCAAGTCCGGAGCCGTTTTGTGAAGAAGAATGGCCAATGCAACGTGGTGTTCACTAACATGGAAGACAGGAGTCAGCGCTACCTCGCCGACATCTTCACCACCTGCGTGGACATCCGCTGGAGATACCTACTGCTTATATTCTGCACCAGCTTTCTGATCTCATGGCTGATCTTTGGTATAATCTTTTACATTGTCGCCCTTGCACATGGGGACTTTGATGAACCCACTAATCAGAAATCTAATGTGCTGGTGACAGGAATGTATGGAGCCTCCTCTGGGCATGCAGTCGGTGGGCAGACACAAAGGATGCCCTGCATACTGCACGTTCAGGGCTTTGTTGGGGCGCTCCTCTTCTCCATGGAAACCCAGACTACTATTGGTTACGGCTGGCGCTGTGTTACAGAGGAGTGTCCTCTGGCTGTGTTGACAGTGGTTATACAGTCCATTGTTGGTTGCATCATTGACTCCTTCATGATTGGCACCATCATGGCGAAGATGGCACGGCCAAAGAAGAGGAACCAGACCCTGATGTTCTCCAAAAACGCCGTCATTGCTCTTCGTGATGGCAAACTGTGCCTGATGTGGCGGGTAGGCAACCTGCGGAGAAGCCACATCGTGGAAGCTCATGTCCGTGCGCAGCTCATACGATCGTATGTCACAGCTGAGGGCGAGTTCATCCCTTTGGAACAGATGGACCTCAATGTGGGCTACGATGAAGGCACGGACAGGCTGTTTTTAGTGTCTCCACTGGTCATAGTCCATGAGATAGACAAGGATAGCCCCTTGTACACCCTGAGCCGAGCTGATCTGGAAGCAGACGACTTTGAGATCGTTGTGATCTTGGAGGGGATGGTGGAGGCCACAGCCATGACCACGCAGTTCCGTAGTTCTTACCTTGCAAGAGAAATCTTCTGGGGTCACAGGTTTGAGCCGGTGATCTACGAGGACCGGGACCGCTACAAGGTAGACTACGCACGATTCCACAATACCTACGAGGTCACGTCAACGCCCCATCTCAGCGCAAAAGAGCTCGATGAAGTGGCGAGCCGAGCGTCCTCCACTGCATCTCGCGCATCGGCACATAGGTCTACGCAAGACTTGATCTCGCGGCCTCTGACCGCCTTCTGCTACGAGAACGAGGTCGCACTGAGCTGTGCGGAGGAGGAAGAGGAAGACATATTTGACTCCACACAGATGGTAGGGAAGGACAGGGCAGAGGAGAGGAGGACTTCTGTTGATTTTCAAAGCATGTTTCACGACACAGCAACCATAACCTCAGGCAGTCACAATGTGATGTGTGTTCTGGACATGGACAATAACCAGATGGAGTTTGACATCCTACAGACTGCGATTCCTCTTGATCCAGTCAGCTATAAGAGTGAACAAGAGGCCTAAAGAGCGGGAGCTTGGGTTGTTTGTCCAGAAAGTTGGATGTGTGTTCAGCTTACATCAACAAGAACAAAAGCTGAAGCTCATTTTGCCTTTCCAGTGTTTTCTTTCTTTCTTTCTCTCTCTTTTTTTTAAATTGTTGTTGTCTTTTCACGTATTGTGTTAAAATTTCAGCAGTATAGTTTTTCCAAGACTGCAATGCTTGGAGGGCCATAGTGATCAAGGAGACTGATTCAGCATGTGGACAAAATATCTCTGACGAACATTTGGCTTTATTTAACTGTGAGTTCATCACCAAATGAAAGCACAAGCTTGTTAAGACCAATAATTTAAAGTATACTTTAGAATGTGTGTATATTTCAAAATTACCTTTGTATAAAATACTTTATTTGAAATGTAACTACAAGATTTTAGAAGAAAGCAACTGATTTAGTTAAAAATTCTCTGCATTGTACTGAAAAGCTTGCAATTTCAGGGGGCAGTTCTGAGTACATCCCTGAAGCAACTTAGCCATTTAAGGGCATTCTCTAAGTGTAGCAGATGGGTTTATTTGCATTTCTGAAATCAACAGTTCAGGTTGTTCTGCAGTGGAGTTGTGTGGAATAATTACAACCAGTCACAATTTAATCTGGCGCAGCAGTCAGAGTGATCTGAGGAGCTCAGATATTCTCATGTGAGAGTCAAGCTAACAGCGACTTAGATATTAGCCAGCTGAAGCAATGCTGCATTAAAATGACACACCAGCTCAGAAGGATATAATACTTAGATATTCTTCAGTTTTGTTTTTAAAACTTTCTTGCAAATTTACAACACTGATGACCCATTTAGCCTCACATCTGCCAACCCAGACCTCAACATCCAATATGGCTGCCATGCGTTTCTCACAAAGCAATTGTTGCAATAGTAAAAAGTCAATTTGCTCTTTTTCTCTCTTGCAATTTGTTCTCAGTAAGTCACTTTCCATTCGTAGAGCTGTACATATTCTGCTGTTGAGTGCTTTGCTGTGGTGTTTGTCATTGCTTGCTAAGTGCTAATAGTAGTTAGCTTCAGGTAGGAATTATTATTATATTTACCTTGTAAAGCATTAAAAATATCTTTGTAATATTTTGTATGTGCACAAACTATTGCTGTTTATGCCTGATCCTACAAACTCCTGATTGCTGTCTAGTGCAGGGAAGCTAATGACTACTGCTAGCTACTCCACAGTGCCCCACACAGAAACAGCTAAACAAACTTCACATCTAACACAGCTTTTTTATTGCCTGTTTTGAATTTTCGTAAAAGACCCTGCATTTCAAATGTTCAGTGGTTAAATTGACTTTTATGTGACATAAAATGTAAATTAGATTTCAGATTCTATGAAGACGGAAACAGATTGATTTGCTACAATTGAAAATAATCAAAGTAGGAGGTTTTTTTTGGTTGATTATTTGATTGGTTGCATATATAGTTCTGCTTTTTCAGCTTTGTTTCTAGTGAAGGTGCGATGAGGGAAGTGGCTTTAAGTTGTATCTGTACTGTTGCTGTTTGCCAAATGTCTGGAGTTTGGAGGGGAAAAGCGGAGGAGTGCCTCTGATCCCGTATGGGGGTAATGTGGAGAACAGGGCAGTTTAAGTGTACTTGGTGTCTGTGACGGTGTCTGTGACGGGGTGAAAGGTCGCCGCGAGGCCCGAACAGGAAACAAAAGGGATGAAGGCTGCTAGTACAGTCATCGGACATGCTCAGCATGTCGCTGGATTTGCACAGAGAGGATTAATTCAAGAGTAACTGAATGTCATGGGAAGTGCTTCAGTCTGAGATGGTGCAATGACTGTATAATAGATGATATTATAAGACGACAACTCAGGATGACGAGAGGTTTGGATGCTAGAATGTGATCTAACTCTGATTTTAGGGACTTTGTGTATAAACGATTGTTTGTTAAGGATTAGAAGCCATTCATACACATATAAGTAACACCAAAGCAAGAAAGCTGGTTTGCTTTTGAAAATGTAAATCAGAACAAAATTATATAAAAAAAAATGAAATCATTAAAAGAAAGTTGGAAACGAAAAACAAAACATGAAAGAAGTTAAGTTTGACATTTTAATTATTTCAGGATGTCTTTACAAGCAGCTCATTAAACTACAAAAATATCTGAAATTGAGTTTTCCCTTTTGTACTTCCGTACAGCATGTAACTGCTGTAAAGGCCAGCAGTTACATGGGGGTAAAAAAATTAGGATATCCTACATGAAAGAAGTGTTGGAATAATGTTCTATGAGCAGATGAGTGTGAAATGTACTATTTGAACACAGGCAGCGGACGTTAACCAAATGTAGAAACTTCACACCAACTGTGAAGCACGGAGGTGGAAGAGTCATGGTTAGGGGGTTGTTTGCAGCGGCAGGATCGGGTCATGCAGAATCCACCAGGACTTCCACCGTGCAACAGGAACATCTGTGAAAACACAAACGGGAAAACAGAAGCGTGGCATAAAAATAACCAAAAATGAACCTTAACCAAAAGAGTCAAGGCAATAGAAAGTCAAAACCCAGACACTGAGATTATTAAAATGCTGTGGACTAAGTAGCTTGTCATTGTAGCTACAAGAAGACAGGGTGTCCTAACTTTTTCTTTCTCTAGAAAATATAATTTGTTGACATCTCCTCACTTTTGCAGGTAAATTCCCTTGAATTTATGCTGATTTGTAAACAATGTCCTGAAAAGGTACTATGCAACAAAACTGCGTGCAATCACTGTGGTAGTCCTAAGATTCAAATTACTTTCACTTTCCATGTGAGATTTTTTTCTGCTTTAAAGGCAAAAATGTTGTTTTAAATGATCAAGTTTTTGTTCACACGCGCAGCAAGCAAATGTAGCATCGCCGTTTTACAAGAGACAGACTGTAAATTGTAATCTCAAAGAACTGATTTAAATCCTTTTCAAAAGTTTAACCACATTTTTTTCTTTTCTTTATAGCAATTATATGTCCTTGTATTGATTGAAGGAAAGTATCATCACCCAAATCTGAGTAAAAGATCTTAATAGAATATATTTTTTATAAGATAGCTGAAGTTTAAATGTAAAAATCCAAGAAAAAACTTTAAGCAGAAGCAGAAACATTTATCCTTAAATTGAAATAGGCACACTGCCAGTCAAAAGTTTTTTTTTGTTCTTTTTTATAAATGACAGATCAAAGTTTATCCCTCTGTACGCCTGTATTTATTTAATCATCTATATATATTTTTTTTTTGCATTGTTACATTCTTGATTGACTGGACAAGCAAGTTAGCAGAAGAAGAAGAAACAGGTTTAATTTTTCCCCCCCACCGTTGTGTCGCCCTCTTATGGTGGCGCCCTGAGTGGTGAGCCATATCTCATAAATCAGAGCCACTTCTGATGATATTCATAACTTGATTTTATGTTTAACTTTGTGCTTCCATAAGATGAACTCAGTCTAGAAAAAGACAAAAATGTATGCTGTTTTGAGCTGTATTACTTGTCATGTGCACAATGGAAATGCATATGTGGATAAAAAATATATAGATATATTTTTTATCTACTTTGGTACCAGGTTCTTCCTGAACCGTAAATCACGCAGATTTTTTCGCTATTCCTGTTATTTAATTTTCAGTCTCTTCTTGCAGAGAACATGGAGCATAACTGAAAGAAACGTATTTTATTAATTTATTTTAGGAACACCTGAAATACAGAGCACTTTACTTTTCCTTGTTCACCTTTGACGTTGTTAATAAATGTCTATGTTATCCTATCGCTTCGTTCTTTTTACAGTAAGTTTGGCTGAGATCTTTATGCTATATCCAACTCCAGCCACTAGATGTCCCTGTGGTCGTTTTAACACTCAAAAAAAGATGAACAGAAACTCAAAACGGGTTGGAGAAAAAATACTATGAAGCATTAAGAACTGGGTTTTTACACACTTTTCATTTAAAAAGTGTTCCAGACTAAACTTTCAACAGCTCCCCTTCCTTTGCATTGACCGCACAATAAAACACTAAAGTTCATTTAGACAACAGTTTCTAATCTAAAAAGAAAATAAGAGACTGGAAGGAGAAATGAAGCAATGAAGGAAAGAAGACGGGGAAGGCATTATAAGGACGGTAACATAGATGAGGTGAAAACTATGTATAATTCTGCTTCCACTTCAAAACACAGAGAAACTCAAACCCTTTAAACCACTGAGGGCGACACTGTGGGACTTTTTCATTGGACTAAAGAAATATGCTTTGTTCCTGATTTCTGAACAGTATAATTTTTTTACCCCATTAAAGACAAGTTTGTACTCATGTATAGATGGAACTGAGATTTTCTCTTGATGAATATAGCAGATGTTACTGACATTTATAACTAATTCAGCTCTTGGGTAAAAATACAGAATTACATGTTTTTTCCCCTCCCCTGCATTTATTTTACCCTCATTTACTCTTAGTCTGTTTCAACCGGTCAGACCACTGATCCCCCTAACTCCGCAAACATAAACAGAAATGTTTTCTGTCTATGTTCAGACTGTGCTCTCTGCTGGAAACACGTAAAATTACAGTTTAGACTTTATTTGCGTTCTATAAAATTAATTCTGATTCATTTAACAGAATTAAATTAATTGGAATTGCTCAGATTTTGAGGAAACTTGAGAAGAATTTCTTCACAATAACCAATTCTGACAATGCGGAAAAATGTTTTTGACATCTTAGCAAATTCACTAAAAAATAGAGAACAAAAAAAAAAAAATCACATCTACGTAGGTACTGAGACTTAAAGAAGTATTTGTTTAGCCTTTTTTTTTTTTTTTACTTTTTCCGTGTTATAATGTTATCCCCTCATCTAAAACATTCCTAGAGTGTTGCTTTGATGCTTTCATGCGTGTTTGAGAAATCCCTGACTCTCCATGGCAACCATTCAGGTAGCTCCTGTGGTGATCTTAGCGCCACCCCTCACTCTGCTCCCTTCAGACTAGCCAGAAGCAATTAGCAACCGCCTGGAGGAACTGCGCATCTGCTGAGCTCATTATACAAGCTTCTTCTCAGCTGGTGAAAAAAAAATGTTAAAGGGTTAATAATAGAGGAGCCATGTTGTGGTGACTTCCTGAAGGCGGAGTTTCAGAAAGAGCAGGAGTTTTAAAGAGACAGAGGCCCAATTTCAAGATGTTAAATTACGAAATCAAATTTCTTTTAAGTCATATTTGGTATATATAGCGATATGTAGTATTTTTATAACAACTGAAGGTCACATAATTACTTAAATGTGCTATATAAAATGGCACTATGCCCAGAAAATACATAATACTGCCCCTTTAAAATTTTCGCATAATGTGTTGTCATGCCAACATGGATTCCAACACACATCCTCCTTAACATTTTCACTATGAGATTATGTTCCTGTAATAAAATACAATCCTTACCACAAGAAATAACGTCTGTCGGCTCTGAAAGCTCAACCTCTGAATCTTCTGACGAAGAAAGTTTTGCTCTGAGCCGTCATGAAGGTCTAGTCCTCATCTTTCTTTAATTAAGCATTCCGTATCTTTTGTCAGTCAGTCTCAGGATGTATCCCATCAGAACTGTTAGTCCTATTTAGTCTATAAACTCCAAAACAACCAGAGAAGGATTTTCTTATTCTGGTGGACGAACATGAGGATAGAGGGGCCAGCAGCTCAGCAGCCTCGGGCCTCGAGGCTATCCGCTTTTCATTAGTGAGTCAGTGAGTGAGTGAAGGAGTGTGATCGGCGGAAGGGTAAAATACGAGAGGCCGATCTGGACCACGTCGGCTATTAGGGTGATTTGGGGGCTCCTGCTGACTCCTATTGTGCATTGTCTCCAATGTGAGCAACGGGAGCCCGACAATGAGCCTTTGTGTGAGATGTTTAACTGCCTGCTAGCATGCTAATTATGGGATGTGCGTGTTTCTGTCTGTGCCAGTGAGAATCCATCAAGTCCTGGTATTTTCCATCCCTCTCGTGGAATTTACACTCCTTCAATTCACCTTTCTCCTCTCCATCTTTCCCCGGAGGCGCTGATGCCCCACTGCTTTCTCTGTAACTGGCTGACCTCTTCAGTAGCTGCTTCCTGTTCTCACAACTTTTTCCCCACTATTCATACCGCAGTGGATAGTGTTTTTTGAACAGCATGATAGTCAAAAGCTAAAGAACTCTTGAACAACTCACAATGATTTCTCTTGTTTTTTTACCCACTGCTGGCTCTTGAAGCATTTTGTGATTTTATATCTTCTTGAAAAGTACTATTTTTCTTTACTCAAAACTTGCTATAATAGCCATTTCCACACCAACACCCTCATATTCGCTATTTTCTAAACCAAATGGCAATCACATTGCTATTAACAATGTACTATTACTAGGGTTGAGACATTCATGTAAGAATCTGTTGGCACAAACAATAAAATAAATATTTTTTTCTTTTACTGTATTGGGCATTGTTGCCGATGCCAGAGAAGCGTCCCCTTTGCTACTTTGCTCAGTGACAAGGAGAACAGGTACAAGGGGAAGGAAAAGCAGAGCACACAATCACAATATTTATTTGACATGAAAGCATCATGTGGCATCATTTCATTGTCCACATTGGCTTCACATCACTCTGGAGTACACACAAGCTTAATTTGACATGACTAGACAGTGATTTAAAAAGACAAAATGACCAGTCTGAGTCCATGAAGGAAGCATCTGGATGCGACTCCAATGTTTGCCAGAAAGATACCTCGAGTCTATGTCAGCGATTGAGTTGCATCACCCACATCGTTGCTTCCCGTAATTATTGTCTTGATACAATGATCTATTTCATGCTGGCCAAATAAAATACATTTCTATAAAATTAAGGTGGTCTTTTGAATGACTTCAATCAGCTAAATACGTGGTAATGTTTTTGGGGGGGTTTCTAACCCCCACTGCCGTTTCTGTTTCAGACATGTCTCTGCAGATTAAAAGAATTGATAGAGGCTTTAAAAAGCCTAACCATGACATCTTAAATCAGCCAATAAATTAATTTGCTTGTTTTTTTGTTTTTTTTTTAAAAGCCTGACTCGCT